AGTCTTTCCCCCTCCTATGTTTTTGCAAACCAGCATTGACCATGCAGATGAGGACAATGTATGGAAGTGGCAAGAAACAGAATGAAAGGAACCTGGGACCTTAAATGATTATGTCGAACAGATATGAATTCCAACTCTTACGTGAGAGAAATATGGATTTATAGCTCATTTGAGCCATTGCATTTTTGGGGTCTCAGCTACAGCAGTGTGTGCTATCCTAACCAATGTAAGCAATGATATTATTTGGTCAGAGGATTTACGGCCCAACCAGTGGACATCAGCAGTTAGTCCTTAGGGATGACCAGCCTGTTCCCACAAAGATGAAGCACAGGGGAGTGGAGGAGATCAGGAGATCAGGTTCAATGACACTGGCCTTTGAGATCAACCATTTCATTTTCCTTGCTCTCCCCAAGCTCGGATGGATGATGGACTACATTTGCTTACGTTGCCTTCAGATTGCCTTCTGAGAGTGAGCATGCACCAAACTATTGCCTAGACCCCTTGGCAGAGCTGTTCCTAGTTATTTAAGTTAATCGATACATTTTTTGGTTTTTAAAAATTAAAAAAAAAGGGGGGGGGAGAAATACAGACAACAAGCTTTAGTGAACTGGTTAAAAATCAGAACATGCTCATCTAAGACACTTGGCTTATCCAGAACAAAGGTACTGGAGGCCAGCAGAGGGCCAGAAGGCAGGCCAAACAGGGGGCGTGCACTGAAGCTCAATTACTTTATTCCTAGGAGACCCCATAATTCCTCCTTCAGAGTACTTTTCATTGGTTCAGAAGTTCCAAATTAAGTAAAATGGTTTCCAAGCCCCCTAGAATTTGGAAAAAGTACATCAGAAGAGAGAGGGCTACCTCATATTGGCACAAAGACAGGGAGGGGGCACAGGTCCTATTCAGACTTAAGAACTGTGTAGCTGCTGGCGTCAGCACTGGGCACGCGGTAGTCCCACCGCAGTGACCCTGAGCACCAGATGCTCACGTGACCCAGGTCCTCAGGAAATGTTAAGATATGTTTAGTTCGGTGTGTTGAAGCCATGACACTCCTCAAATCTCTAAAGAGTTCTAACCAAGATAAATTCTGGTGCTTCAAAGGGTTAAATGTCAGCTCTCTGAAAGACTTAGCTATTCCGAAAGATTCTGGGCAACAGAGTTTGTGCTGCCCTTTCGAAATCCATTGGGCTGAGGGCAAACTGAGACCACTGAAGCCACTCTGCCCCAACAGCCCATTGGATTTGAGCCCTCCACCCCCCATCTTCCTCAGACGTTCCCAGGCAAGTGGCACCAGGACTTCAAGGGGACAAGGTGCGGAGCCACCCAGGGTCTTCCAGGACCCCTCACCTGGGAATTGGGAAGGGAGCCCTTTCTCCTTCACTGGTGGAAGGAACAGCCACAGGTGGGCCTGATTCAGGGTGGGGTCTGTGGTTGCGTGATGGTGGTGGAGGAGGTAAGACATTCAGACTGCTCTGGACTATTCTCCCATAGAGCTGCTCTTTGGGGTTCACCAGCTGGGGATGGGGAAGCTTAGAAAACTCCCCATGTCTCCTGTGGCTTTGACCCTCTGTGCCCCTGCTTCCTTTTTGCCTTGGGAGGCTGCTACAGCCTAATCCCCAGTCCAGGTCAGACACAGAGAGGCCACTCAGCACCCGGAGCCAGGCTTTCATTCTTGAGCTTTGGGTCCCAAGACAAAGAAATCCCACAGGGAGGAGAGCAGAGGCACAGGCCCTGCAGGGCTGCTCACAGGAGCATAGTCCCCTGCCTTTTGGGAAAGAACTCTTACCTAAGAGGAAGGAAAGAGTTGGGGAGCCTCTCTCTCTGGAATCCTTGTCTCTCTCACCCAAGGTGCCAGGAACTAGGAACCAAAGACTCCGTGAGAACTGTGATATGTATCTTGAGCTTTGTAACTTCCTATGTCCAGTTCTGCTTTTTCCTGGTGTCCTTGTTTTGATGAGGAAGAGAACCCTTAATATAGAAAAAAGCAAGATGTTCATTTTTGGCAGTAGCCAGGAGAAAACCAGGGGTCCATCCTCCAGTAGCTTGCCATAATGGGGTGGGGGGAAGGGTGGAATGAGAGAGTGGCTGGTGGCAGCTTTAAATTTTTTATTTTTATTTATTTTTAAAGTAACCTCCACACCCAGCGTGGGTCTTGAATTCACACCCCTGAGATCAAGGGTCTGATGCTCTACCACCTGAGCCAGCCAAGCGCCCCGTGGTGGCAGTTTCGAAAAGGGGAGCCAGCAAGTATGAGGACCTGAAGCAAGGAAGAAATGGGAGCTCAGGAAGAGGCCGGGGGTGCGGGGAGGGGAGGCCCGGGGAGGAGGGAGACATCCAGCCCTCAACACCCAGAAAGTGGGCCTCAGGCATGTCCTCCCTCCTCCTCCCCCTTCCTTCCACCTTTTAAACCAGCCCCGGTGACTATCACCTGGGATTGGTATCCCCACAGCCCAGGCCTGGCACTGTTTGCCCCAGACACTTGCAGGGTGACAAATGGGCGGGTTGTTTCGGTGAGGACTGAAACAGCCCAAGCGCCTGTCCCCAGTCTTCAGGAGCCTCCACAAAGGGGCCTTTCCCAGCACCATTTACTACCACAGAGCAAATACCCAGGCACATGGTTTCAAGGCAGCCAGAGGCTCTGACTTCTCTAAAACAGACCCTGCCCTCCATACACCTTTTACATCCGAGTGGTTTGAATGAGCACTGTGAAGATGCTCACGGGCAGCCATCACTGGCCACAGCTGCCTCCCAAACTGCCTGGCTTCACAAGCCAGTGGTCTCTTGAGCAGCCAAATTTCCCCACGCCCTTGAGAAGGGTTTAGCAAGGAGCTAAGACAGTTAACTGACCCTGAAGAGCCTGGTGGCCATGGTAAGAAGACAGGCAGCACAAAATAGTGAGTGTAGGGATCGCAGACCCTGCGGTGGCGGCCAGCACTAGAAGCTCCATGTTGGCGGGGGCCACACTGGACAGAGCAACAGCAACAGAGCAGAGCCCTCGTGTACCTAACATGTCTAACAGAGGTGCTGCCGACAGGGGAGGGGGATGGAAAAAATCACGAACTGACAGTTTTAAAATGAAAAACAAAACACCCCTGAAAAAATACATATGGGGCCAAATTTTCCTGGAAATACTGGGCTTTCATTTTCTGTCATCAGGTGGATTAAGTGGAATCAGGGAAAGAATAAAGCTGTATTTCCTGCACAGGGTTTCCTGGCTGGGGTGGGGACATCCAGAGGTAGTTTCCTCAGGCTGGCAGGGCTGGAGGATGCTCGAAGGCCCTGTTATGCCAGGTGTGGTCCAAGGACTAGCAACATGGCCATCACCTAGGACGCTTAGAAATGCACTCTCATGTCTCACCCTGGACCTGCTAAAACTCAATCTGCAATTCAAGATCCCAAGGTGACTCATGCATATTATGTTTGAGAAACACTGCCTTAAGGGATGGTTCAGGTTTCAAATTCTTTTTTTTCCTTGCAGTTGAACTCCACACAGAATCTTCACCTGGCTGTAAAAGCAGACCGGAGCTGGTTAATTGGGGCGGCCATGCCCCTGTGCTCCTCACTCGCAGCAGCCTTGGAGGTCCATCTGAGCATCTCTAAAACTTGAAGTCAGCTAAAACCTGCTAATCTTGCCTCAGCATCTAGTTTGGCATTGATGGGATGTTTAAGATTTTTTTATTTTGGGGGCGCCTGGGTGGCTCAGTTGGTTAAGCGACTGCCTTCGGCTCAGGTCATGATCCTGGAGTCCCGGGATCGTGTCCCACATCGGGCTCCCTGCTCATCAGGGAGTCTGCTTCTCCCTCTGACCCTCCCCCCTCTCATGTGCTCTCTCTCTCAAATAAATAAATAAAATCTTTAAAAAAAAAAAAAAAAGATTTTTTTATTTTTAAGTAATCTCTATACCCAAACATGGGGCTTGAACTCAGGACCCCAAGATCAAGAGTCCCATGCTCTTCGGACAGAGCCAGCCAGGTGCCCCTAGGGAGATGTTTCTACTGACAGATGGCCTGCTGTGAGGGGCACAGGTGAGGGGTGTGGACTGCACCTGCAAGCCAGCAAGGCTCTATAGATGGAACACGCTGGCGGACACTAGGGCAAAGCTGTACGTAAGAACCCAGCTCACTGCTCAGTCCGCATTGCCCTGCTTCCTGCCCAGCCCAACCTCAGGACTAGAGAGATACAAGCAAGCCCTGGTGTGTCCCCAGAGAGTGCTGGGTGCCTCAACAAACCCCTACACATAGACACTGGGACAGTAAGCCCACCACAGACCCTGCATTTCCAGGGCTGCTCGTACAGACCCACAATCTTAAAATTCACTTACCTAGGATCCCCAGAATTGACTCATGCGGCAAGGTGACCCTGGCCAAAGGGACAGGCCTCACTGTGATCCAGGCCAGACCTGCACTCTAAGGCCTGGGCTTCCAGGCTTCCTGAGGGACACTTCCTTTAGCAGGCAGGAGCCCTCTCCAGCCTTTTTTCTGTGTTAGGGGACTGCTTCCCTGCATTCCTAAGAAGTGGACTCTCTCACATGGGAGATGAACTAGTCTTCAGAAAGTGGGCAGACAGAGCATGAGTCATAACCTGGGCACTGGTTAATGAGCTTGAAGCCTTCACTTTTAAGATTCAAGTCCCATCCATCTATCCTCAGGGAGGGGAGGGTCAGGTGAGGAGGAACATTAAGGCGGTGACATTTCTCGTTATGAAATGTTAGCTGTGCTTCTTCAGGGACTGGATTAAAAATGGGTGAAAGGGAGTATGGTAGCATGTTTGGGAACCGAGAAGACTAGAGGCCTCTGATCCAAAACGCAACATGCTTTTCAGGCAGGGGCATTAGCCTACCCACATCCGGACAAAGCTGTGACAGAATCTCAGTTGTCAGGTCTCCAGAGAGGTGGCCACTGCCAACCTTGGCAAGGCTCCAGCAGCAATGCCACTGGGGGCCTTGCTGAGTAATGAGAACTGGAAAGGACCCTTCCTAGTGGGCTTGTTGTGACCACAGGCCACCGTGGTGATGACAAGAGAGCGTGGTTACTCTGGTAACCTGGTCTGTGTGAGGCCTTGGTCGAATCTGCCAGCAGCAGGGAAATCAAGACCCAGCATGCATGATAGTGCTACTGGAGACGGACAAAATGAAGAAAGGGTGACCCTGTGACTGGGTGAGCAGCTGCTCCTCAGGAGCCAGCCGACTCCGATCAAGGGTACGCAGGCTGAGCCAAGGCTCGGGAGGCCACACAGGCAGCATACTTGGGAACGGCACGGGCCCTGCCTGAAGGTGACGCAAGAGCCTATCAGTGTTTTTGCTCATGGGAGAAACACCAACTGCCAGTCTAGGCTGGGAACTTGATCTTTTACCAACTGACCGGAGAGCTAAGTTTTCCAAGCATGGATGTCTTTGGAATCATTGCAACATATTTCACTGTTTTCGTTCATGATTCTTACAAGCACGGCTAACTTTGAGAACACTGAATTCCGTTCACAGTTAGTATTTCCGCTGCCTTAACTGACCCACAGACAAGTGTACGGGAACTGCCAATACACATATTTGTGTACACACACCACAGTTTTAGAAATTGGGACCATAAAGTTGTACCTATTAGTTGCGGATCTGACACATTACACATTGCCAGGATCATCTCTCATTTGTGGTTTCTGGAGAAAGAACCTGTCAGTATTCAGATGACCACTTTTGAGCTTTCTGACGGTGGACCAGACCAAGCCGTCCACAACTGAGTCTTAGAGTCTAGGTCCTGAGTCATAATGAGTTCACACCCTGAGGGCCCTGGCCTCGAGCATGCCAGGGACTGGTCAGACCTCCTCTCTGATGGCTGCAGGCAAATTCCTAAGCCTGATTAAAAATACCACTGAGGAAATGCCCACAGAGCACTCCTCATCCCAATGACAACCTGTCCTCTCCGACCACAGGAATGATGTTGGGGCTGTTTCCCTTTAACCCTGCCACATTCCTCCAAGAACCCTACTATGCCCCCAAGAGAGGCAGCTGCAAAGACCACAGACACCCTGATTTACATAAAATTATCTCACTCCATTTTATTTAAGATTTTTTTCTCCAGTTAGTAAAAGAAAGATGTGTCTCTCTTTATACATATGTACAAGTTCAGTTATAAAAATAGACAGCACATTCAAAGAGAAAAAAGGCTTGGCATTTTTCTGATTCCCTCTAAATAGCATCTGTACACAAGAGTCTGGGTTTGGGCAGGGGAATCTTAATGATTTAAATTAAATGATTCCCCTATCACCCCTACTCCAAAAAAAAGTTTTAAAAATCAATCTGTCTAAACTCAATTCCGCGATTTTCAGGTGTGCAAATTAGAGGCTGGCCCGCCCGGAAGCACCTGCTCCACCAGGGACATCAGGCTGGGGGCAGGCAGAAACACCTCCCATGCAAACACCACCCCTTTGCCTCTCTTGTGGGGGGCGGGGCGGCGCAAGCTGAGGCAGGTGGGGGGCTGAGGCCAGGAGGGTCGGTACTGAGCTTTGCCCTTTCTCCATCCTCTCCGCCTCACTCCTGCTGTCCCTTCCTTTCTCAGTGCAATATAGACAGTGCATACAGCCAAGCAGGGGGCTGAAGGGCAGGGGTGGGGAGACTGTGCATTCAGGAAGGGCAAGGGGAGTCTGCAAGAGGGGCAGTGAGGATGTCTCCTGCTGATTGAGATGGCTCCTGGTTTCTTTACTGGCTTCTGGGAGTCCCGGGGTGGAAGCTGCTGCTACGGTTGCTGGTGGGACCTGAAGGTTCTCTGGCATGAACCATGCAGGACAGGGGAGGAAATGCTGGGAAAACAAGTGCCTCCGGGCATGCCTCCTCTAGTCTCTGTCACCCTCATGAGCCACTCACTAACCTTTTCGCACTCACTGTTCTCTTCGGTGCTGACACTGGCAAATGGAGTCTGGAGACCCGGGGAGCTGCCCAAAGACCGAGGATGCCAGATACAGGATTTCCTCCCTTCCTAGCCCGACAGGAAATCACAGCCCTAAGAGAGGTCTCCACTGTGGAAGGTTCTTCACAGCACTTGCAGAGCCTCTGCAAGGGACATGACCAGAGCCCAAGTGGAATGGGGATGGAGACTGTGTGCCTGAGCATCTACAGGGGGTCTATGTCAGGCCCTTCCCCAGTGCGAGGTTTAAGATGTGGCTGTAAAGTTCACTAGAGATGCTGTGAGGCCGATCTCTGTCCTTGGGCCTTCTTCCTCATAGGCCCCCCAGAGCACTCCTCTTGAGACACAGGTGAGAAAAGTGCTCACACCAACCACCTGCCTGTCCTTCCCTTGCTGCAACTGGTCATCTCTGCCCTCTGACCTGGGATGTAAGACGCTGCACTGGGCAAGCCATCCAAAGACCATATGTGGGCCAGGACTCTGGCCCCTGGTTTGGTTGAAGGAAGCCAGAAGGTCCAGGTGGTTACCGTCCTCCAGAGGGGTTGGTGCCTTTGCCCTGTTTCCGGACCAGGGAGTCTGGGGCTAGGCTGCTGGTCAAGTGGAGGTTCTTGGGAGTCCCAGGAACATTATTTCCTTTGCTCAAAGGGGAACTCAAGGGAGAAGAGGCGCTTGAAGGTCCAAAGTCAGCAAGGCCAGCAGGCCGAACAAGAGACGTCTGCAGAGGACTGCTGGCAGAGATTCCTGTGGGATGGAGAAAGAGGCAAGAAGAATATAGGCACCAGGCCTGTCTGAGCTGCCCCGGTGCCTCACCTTGCTTGCTGGAGTCTGGGCTGGAGGTGAGGTTGTGGGGAACCCCTCCCACTCCTTGCCAACCTCTTCTTAGCACCTTTGCTTGCTCTCCTGTCAACTGTCTTTTCTGTAAGAGGGAGGTGTTTTTCAGGGAAAAACAACACCTACTCAGCCTTCTCCACATCACCTCATCCACAAGGAGTAAGATGTCACCTTGATGCTCAAGGGCAGAGCACGTCACACAATGTGGGGAAGCCAACGCTGCAGGATGGTGTGTAACTTCTTAGGCACTAATGTATTTTCTTACGTATTCCCTCTTCCTTCTTGGGACACCACTTGTGATCAGCTGCTCCTAATCACGCCTCCTTCACTTCACAAGATGTCCTCTATTCCCCAAACTCTGCCGCTTCAAGGACCCAGTTCAAATTGCTCATCCTCAGTGATGGCTCCCTGGGGGACAAGTCTTTCTTCCTTGTATGAGCCAAAACCACTCACAACCTCGTAACACACTGTCTAATATGCTTCATTTGTTTCTTGCAGAGTGGTCTGACTATCCTGAAAAAGCATATTAAGTGCTTGGAGGACACACAACGGTCTCTTCCCGTCCATCAGGGAGCTGCGGGGGATCCCTGAATCAGTCCTTTCCCTGGTTTTCCCATTCCCAGTCACCAAGCATTGTTGATTCTTCTTGTGGCACTCTGCCTCCTTCACCCCTCCCGCCCCTTCTCAGACCAGATCTCCAGGAGAAAGCCTGATGGGTGTTGTGGCTCCACCCATCTGGGGGTGAGACCCTGCCACAGCAGCCTGGACTGCTGGTATGATTGTTGTTTTCCAAGGATGTGAGGAGCTGACAAAACTGGACTAAGCTATTATACTTCATATTCATTGAATGAACAAACCAATGAGAGCCGAGATTCCTGCCGTAGGAGGAAGGGGAAGGGGGCTGACACTTACTCAGCACCTTCTATCCAATAATGGGCAACACCCGCTACAACAACATTTTCAGCTACACACCAAGCCCATGCTACGAGTGCGGAGCCAGTGAATGGCGCTCCCCTCCCCACCCTCGCAGCTGTCCTACAGGCTATGCTTCTCCTCCTCCTCCACACGCCCTGCTCACCACAGCCACCTCCTTTCACCAACTTTCCAGAGCCCCTCATCACACACCTGAGAAGCTCTTGTCCATTAGGTCCTGCCATGTCTCTCCACTCCTGACACCTACTGCTCCTCTTGAGCTTGGCCTGACTGACCTGCTCAGTGACCCCGGATATGCCCCTTCCTTTGTCATCCTTCTCCTTCTTTCTGAGTTACAACCTGGCAACTTCGTCTCCAGGTCCATGGCTTCCCCCTTCTTCCGAGCTATAGCTACAATTAAGGCCTCCCCATTTTTGTCACTCAGTACACGCATGCTGTCGTGTATTGCTGTTAAACATATTCCACAGATGGCTCCCTCTTCTCACTTCTATTACACACTCCAGAGCGGGGGCCATGTCTTATTATTCTCTCATGCACACAGCTCGGGTGATGGCAAATGCTGACTACGCTAGCCTGGATTACTGAAACAGAATTCCTGAAATGCGCATCTTGGAGGGAGTTTCCTGGCCCCGGGGGGTGCCCTACCTGCTCTCCGCACAACACTCCACAGGCCCTCCAACCTGTCCCTCACCAGAAGGGAGCCTGCAGCTCGCCCCTGCCCCCAGGGGCCTCCGCACCTTTAGACACATTGTACCCGTATGCAGCATAGGCGGCTGCTGAGGCCGCCGCGGCCCCTGCTTTGGCTCCTGCCATTGCAGCAGCACTGCCTGCGGTGGACTTCCGGCTCCGGCCTTTCCCGGCTCCTTTGGCTGTGCTTCCTGACCCTTTGGGGCGGCCTCGGCTTCGAGCGGAGTGGCCACGTCCTGCGGCTGGCATTTCCTGAATGGAAATTCCTGTGGGAACAAATGGGCCAAGAGGGAGAAAGAGTCAATCTCTTGACATGTTAACAGACTCTTCCCCGGACAGGCAGGGCTGTCTCTCGGCGTGTTTCAGGACTCCCAGGGAGGGCTCCGTCCCCATTTAATGGCTGGGCCAAGGAGTCACAGAGTAAGAATTCTGAACAGCTAAAACAGCCTGACTCCTTAAGCTGCTCCTCATTCTAAAAGAGTGGTTCCACTACTCCTGAATTTCTTCTTTAAACGAGTTTCATTACTAAATGAACCCCAGGGGTGTGAGGCCTGTGATTCACCTGCGCGCTTCAATGTGCTCCTGCCTTGGAGAGTCAACTTTTACTCCCAAGTTTTAAAGCTAGAGCTCCTCAAGAAATCACACCATGGGCCCCACAGAACAAAGTGAGGAAAGGCCCAGAGAAGCAAACTTTAATTAAAAACTAGCAAAAATAAAGGTGGAATATGAAAGATAAGGCTGACTAGAAAACAAAGAAGTTTGAAATCTTTATAAAGTTCTTTCTCCCTTTCACTTGACAGGGCTCCTGAAAGAATAAGCCTATCAGTTCTTTTTCCTCCACTTGTTTACAGACAGTAGAAAATGCCGTGATCTTGGGAGGAGTTGGGACTTCAGCACGAAACCCATGCTTCCCCTGAGGCACTGGACCAGGCCCAAGCTGTATGAGACCGCAGCACCACTCACCGTTCACAGTGTCTGAAACGGAGCCTGTTATGGAAGCAGGAGAGTTGGTGGCCCGAGACTGGGGGGCTGAGGAGGCTGGGTCATCCACGATGACCAGCATATCACTGCTGCTCTCGTCCAGGGGGATGGAGCCGGTGTGCAGCTCACTGCTGATGGAGATCTGGAGGAGGAAGGGTCGTGATCACCACCATTCTTGGCGCCCACAGCCCATGGCCCTCATACTCATGTGAGGACGTGCTTCTCAGACCTCATCACTATTTCTCTCTCCTGCCTGGCTTCATTCCTGATGGTAAAATTCCCTGCTTTGGCTCCAGAGAAGCCAGCCTGTCCTCATTTCCTTTTCTTCTTATGTATTCCATGTGCAGCCCCCTTCCCCAAGGCAGAAGAACTCCAGGAGAAGCAAAGGCTACAAGGTCAGGACATAGTCCCCACCGCTGGGATGAAGGCATCTAAAAGGAGCCTCACCTCACTGAAAGGGCTGGGCATGGCCGAGTCCACGCTAATGAAGGAGTCATCCCCGTCAGCAGAGAGGTTGGAGTTATCAGCCGAGGGAACAAATGGGATCACTAGGTTCACACCCTCCTTTCTCCTTTTACCATCCAATTCATCTTCCTTTTTCTTCTGGGAACACACAAATCAAGAAATTTGGAAAAAGCATGAAGATAGGCACTAAAAGAAAAGTGGGGTTGGAAAAGAAAGTGATGACAGAAATCTGACTCTCTGTAAACTTACAGGTTTTTTTTTTTTTTTCCATTAGCATACTTTTAAGGAAGGAAAAAACTCCTAAGGAAGGAGGAAAGGCATAGCTTAAGAAGAGTTTATGTATATTCTACCCCAGTAATACAGAGCTGCGAGGCAGGCGAGTCACAACGAATCAGGGCTGCACGAAGCCTGACCCATGAGGGGCATGTCCGAGCTGCAGCACTCGTAGGGGTGGAACTGATTCAGTCCTACAAGAGGGAGGCCCAGTGCCTTTAGTGTATTTTCTGCACATCTGTTTTCACTCTGCCTTCTTTTTAAATATGCGTAAGGAGAACAAAGGTTCTTATCATACCCAAGAAATAATGGGTTGCTTTTGTCATTATTTTCTCAGTTTACATGTAAATGCTTATGGATTGAGCTACATTAAGCAGGTCTAGAACCAAGTTTAGTAGGGCTCTGTCACAGATCAGGGACCTGAAATCGCAGAATATGCTTGGAAAATTCTGGGAATCACATCCACTCACTGTATCTAACTGCATTTGTATCCACCCCTATATCAGGGTTAATGTCTTTGTGTAGTTTATACTACCACTGGATGTTTATCTGAAACTTCTTTACTCAGAGCAGGGATGGCTTCTGATGCAAACTCAGCAAACCCTCCAATATCTTGTATTAGAAAACCACCTTTTGTGGTTCAAAGACTTCATTGCTGTAGTTTGGATTATTTCCCCTCCCGCCAACCCCCATCCCAAACTGCATTTGTAATTTTGTGGCTGAGGGTCATTTGTTTGTTAATGTACTGTGCCTTTAACTTTAGACAGCTTTTTATTTTGATGTCTTGTTGGCTCAGTAATGCTCAGGATATCAACTGTTTTGCAAAATAAATTTACTGAACTTGGGCTAAAATAAAAACCAACCAAACAAAAAACAAAAAACCCCCACCACCTTTTCTTCTTTGATGTTTCTGAATATTAAAGCTATTTTAATTCTAAATAGTAGTTAAGTAATGGGTTAGAGATTTGAGGATGGAGTCACAGTTCCTGGATTTTTCAACTTTGATACAGTGAATACCAGGGCATCCTTTGGGTTAGAGATAGTTCTGCTTAGCAGAAGGTACAAATGAGGGTATGGATTTTACAAAAGAAGAGCTGGTATATCTACTGGAAGATGATCAAATAATACAGACAAGTTCCTAGGCTGCTGACCATCAAGGTCATATGGCCAAAGGGACAAGGGACATGAGGCCCAATACAAGCTTGGATAAGGGGAAGAAGTCAACCTCCACTTACGACAGAATCAGTATCAACATGTGGTCAGACCATGTGCTTCAGACAAACCAAACAGTCCAGGGAAATGAAGCATGGATAACTGTTGGGCTTGAGGACCCATAGCTATCATGCTTGAAGCTCACAGTAGCTATCTTGTTCAAGAACAAGGGCCCAACGAGGGCTGATAAAGATGGGAAGGGCAGCAAAACCCAAAGGTAAGCCAAACGCACCAGAAAAAATTAGGAAGTACTTTCTGAAAGGTAGTAAAGTGGTTCTGAACCAACAATCTTTAGGTGTTAAGTCTGGGAACCCGGTCAGAACCAATGGGCCGACTCCTGAAACAAGAATAAATCCTGAAGGCCTCACTTCAATTTACTTGTCAATAAAGACCAGAATAAGGATCACTGAAATAAGACTCTGGTAGAAAGAGCAAGACAGGGAGAAATATAAGGGGAATTACATTCCACTTCGCAGCTGGCCAAGTGGGGTCAGGAGGGAAATGTCAGAAGGGAGACAAAAAACAGCTCAAATCTTTGACATAAATTAGAGAAAAAGAGATAAACAGATTGGTCAGTGATTTCTTTTTCCAACAACAGATGACACTGAATGGAACACTAGCAGAATTAAGGTAGGATGGATATAATGACCTCTTAGGCCCTAAGATTCTACGCAATCTGATAACGTAAGTAAGATCCATCTTATCCGCATTTAGCCTTATGCTTTGCAACAGCCCCGACAAATGATTTCCATAATTACATGTGACCAGACAAGGTAAGTCTGTGTGGGGACTACTGGTCTACCAAGGCTGCATTTCTCCTGATCAAATGTCATTCAGCACAGAACTGTTACCACATACAGCTGGAGCTGGATACCAACCAGTAACCAAGATGATAAGCCATCTACCCAAAGCTTTTTTTGTTAGTGCCACCCTGTCCCCTGCTGGTCCCTGCCGGCCACCCAAAGCTTGATATACCTTCTCTGCATACTTTTCCCGCTTGCGCTTGCGCTCTTTGACTCGGTTGGTTTCCTCCTGCTGCCGTTTCTCTTCTTGCCGCAGTCTCACTAAGAAAATTAAAAAGATTTTTTTTTTTTTAAAGATTTTATTTATTCATTTGACAGAAAGAGATACAGCGAAAGCGGGAACACAAGCAGGGGGAGTGGAAGAGGGAGAAGCAGGCTACCTGCGGAGCAGGGAGCCCAATGCGGGGCTCGATCCCAGGACCCTGGGACCATGACCTGAGTCGAAGGCAGACACTTAATGACTGAGCCACCCAGGTGCCCGAAAATTAAAAAGATCTGAAGATCTGATGAAGTATCTGTGGTAATCATAATTCTCATTCTCTGAAATTAAGATGGCCACACCCTCTGATATTTATGTTCTAGGGTAGGACGTCTGTCTAGGGCAGATTAACTAGTTTTTTAATGTGGAGAGGGAACAGAGTTCTTGGATTTTTAACAGTTTTGGGGGTCAAGCCATCATTCAGTTTAACTGTCATGGGCCGTTCCTTGCCTTTATTCTTTCTCCTTTACTTTTCTTTATTTTTTAATTTTAAAAGATTTTATTTATTACATGACACAGAGAGAGAGAGAGGGAGAGAGCAAGCACAAGCAGGGGGAAGCAGCAGAGGGAGAGGGAGAAGCAGGCTCTCCGCTGAGCAGGGAGCCCGATGTGGGGCTTGATCTAGGACCCTGGGATCATGACCTGAGTTGAACTGAGCCGCCCAGGCACCCTTTCTCCTTTTCTTTTCAGCCTTTTAATATCTCTGCATTGCAGAGATCAAGTATGATTGTAGAGTCCTGAAAGGGTTTTCGAAGGCGGTGGCAAGGTGAGCACTGTAAGAAAGGAGCTTCATCAGGGGCGCCTGGGTAGCTCAATCGTTAAGCGTCTGCCTTCGGCTCAGGTCATGATCCCAGGGTCCTGGGATCGAGCCCTGCATCGAGCCCCGCATCGGGCTCCCTGCTCCGCAGGGAGCCTGCTTCTCCCTTTCCCACTCCCCCCCCGCTTGTGTTCCCTCTCTCGCTGTGTCTTTCTCTGTCAAATAAATAAAATCTTCAAAAAAAAGGAGCTTCATCATACTTTCTGATGTGATGCTGACATCCTCATGGGCTCACAAGGTAATTCTGAAACCAACTATTCTCAAAAGCCAGCAGTACATGGGAGAATGCTACAGCAGTGTGTTTTTCCAACTTCTCCATAAAAACATTTCTTTGGGCAGAACAGAGTAAATTCATTACTGCTGAGGAGTCTAGGGATACAGCCTCCCTGATGCAAATTTATTCAAAGTCATAGTACTTTTAAAATACATGTGAATTTTGCCTTCTACTCAATAACACATTCTTTTTTTTTTTTTTTTAAGATTTTATTTATTTATTTGAGAGAGAGAGACACAGCGAGAGAGGGAACACAAGCAGGGGGAGAGGGAGAGGGAGAAGCAGGCTTCCCGCCGAGCAGGGAGCCCAGTGCGAGGCTCGATCCCAGGACCCTGGGATCATGACCTGAGCCGAAGACAGACGCTTAATGAATGAGCCACAGGCACCCCTCCATAACACATTATTATTTGGGTTTTAATATAAGTTATTAACATAAAAAATGCTTCTACCCAAATACAATCTTTGGCTTTGCTTACCCTTGGCACACAGCCAAGAGGCCCTACCATTTTCGGATGGGTGAGGCCAGAGAAACATCTTTTATAGGGAGGAGAGGGCTTTAGTAAGAGGTTTAGAGTACATACATTTCTTTTCCAGCTCTTCATCATCTAGAAGAAGACTAACCACCTCTTTGGGTTTTAAGGTATCTGGTTTGAAGTTCCCACCAGAAATCACCATCCGCTGAATCTATACCAAAGCAGATCAAAACATCACCACCAGGTACCCATTCCCTTATGGCTAATATCCAGAAACAAGGCAACATCTTTCTCAATCTGCTCTTCTGGCACTTGGATTCCCTATTTCTTCTCATTCATCTCACTGGCTCATTCAGATTATTTATCCAACAGAAAGAACAATGAGAACTTCTCTTGCTTGGGACTGCTAATTGATAGCTAGAAGATCCAATAATACAGAAATCAAGATAAAAAACCCTCAGACCCCCAAATAATCATTTCTTTGGAAACTAGCAAATTTGGTATACAACTTAAGAGGCTGTCAAATCGAGAGTACTAGGATGAGAGCTCAGATGTCATTCCTTATTCCCCTGCATGGTAAAGCATGTGAAACAGGAGGGCCATGACCGGTGTCTCCCCGCCATGAACAACAGCCCAACCCAGCCTGTAGAGACCATTCAGACCGAAAAGAAGTGAGGAATGAACAGCCAGGGTGGTACAGGGCTTGACTTTATTTTCTATTCAGAAGAACTTTGCGCCGCTCCCTGACCCACAGAAGGCAAGGGTCTCAGCCCAGTAAATGTGGTTGTACTTTACAGCTCCTCCACCACTACAGTACTTGCTCTGCCTGCTGCTTACCTCACTCTTCTCCTTGGCTCGCTGCAGAATGCGTTCCTCAATGGTGCCTTTACAGATGAGTCGGTACACAGTAACCTGCTTTGTCTGCCCCAAGCGGTGGGCTCTGTCCATGGCCTGCTGGTCCACAGTGGGGTTCCAGTCGCTGTCATAAAAAATCACCTGCACGGGCAGGACGAGAATACAGCGAAGACTGAGGCACTCTTACGGCAAGGCCAGGAACTCTGAGAGCAATCCAGCCACTTGTCATTTGCAGTAGTTTGATGCCAGATTTTCTCCCAGGATATTAAGATGAGCAGACATCCACTCATAAAACCAAGCCATTCCTTCACTTGTCTTGGGCAAAACAGACATACTCTAGCTTTTTTTTTTCAGGATTTTCATTTAAAAAGAGGGAACAACAATAACATTAATAGTTAATTAATACTTAGTGCTCACTATCTGCCAGTCACTGTTCTAGTTGCTTTATGTGTATTAACTCACTTAAATCCCATAATCACCATGATTTAGGTACTATTAAGACCTCCATTTTATAGATGAGGAAACTGAGACACATAGGAATTATAGAATTTATCCAAGATCATAGAGCCTAAGTACGTGGTAGGCCTATGAGGTGGGGGATATGAAAGCCTTCTCTCTCTCTTTTTTTTTAAGTTTTCATGTATTTATTTAAGCAATCTCTACCCTCAACGTGGAGCTTGAACTCACGACCCCAAGATCAGGAGTTGCATGCTCTTTCAACTGAGCCCGCCAGGCATCCCTGAAAGCCTTCTCTTTAACACTAAGCCTACCACGGTAAGGGATAGGCATAGCTTTCCTGGCATTCTCCGGCTCATATTTCCTATCCCTTGAATTCGGCAAAGAAACATTTAAGGGTTCCCTGGAAGCTACTTTTAGTTTGCTAAACAACAAACAAACAACAACAGAAATGTCCTCTCCTCTCCTCCACCCACAAGTCATCCTACGGCCAACAGACCTGGGTCCTCAGTCCTGAGGCTACTATTGAATATAGGGGATGTCCTGAAAGAAAGCAGTTCCAAATGGTCCTCATGCGTCATCTATATTCAAGCAAGTCACCAAATCCAGCCACTGCTTCTTCAGAAATGAACCTCTCCTTTTTATAGTCCTACTGTCCCTATCCTGGACCGGGATCTCATCACCTACACCTGGCTCGCTGCCACTGTCAGACCAGCAGGCTTTCTAGAGCTTGGTCACTCTCTTCTTTAGTCTACTTTGGTTACCACTGTAGGCCACTCTATTTCCCTGTCAGTTATGCGGTAACACACCAAGTCCAAACTCCCCTCAATAATCAGGCCTTGCTATACTGAGCCAACTTCATTTCTATTCTTTTCTAAAATAAACACGCCCCTTCCTTTTTGTTAGAGAGGTCTCTTCAGTGCTCCTCACTCATGATTGTTTGCATCACTTTTTGCTCAAGCTCTTTTTCTGACCTGTAGTCCCTCAATTCTTCTCTATTGGTCTTTTAAGGTTTGATTCAAGCTTCCCACTTTCGAGAAGGCCTCCCTGATTTCTCCTGCCTATAACAATGTCCCTTTTCCCTATTCCTCATGGATTCCTACTAGAAATAATAATGGTGAAAATCTGTTCAGCACTTACAATGTACCTGGCACTAGTGTGCATACATATCTCACTAAATTTTCACAAAAACCTTGCGTGTTTTCTTCATCTTATCAATCGGGAAGAGACTGGCCTGAGTTCATGGTCCTAACAGTCTCCCTCCACAACCTGCACTATTAACAATACCTTGCAAGCACTGCCTATCCTGGTCCAGTTCTCACTTAATCACTGTCTTCTATGGGTGTCCAATTATTTCATGTGTATTATTTTAAAAATCTCCCTATCTGGTTATATTGTAGGACAGACAGCATCCATCTGTGCAAAGTAGAATTCCACAAATACTAGTCAATTAATACTAGAATCTGTAAAGGAATTGATCAACACTAGACCAAGCCTAAAAATGTAAACTCAGTGATTCACTCTGAAGTAATTTATTTATTCTCTCATTTAAAATTGGACACAGTTCTGCCATTCTCTGCAGAATTCAGACTCTGAGTGAAGATGGACAAAAGACATCGGCATTTGCAACACTCTTGCCTACAACAGTAAAACCCCCACTGGCTCTTTCTGATGCTGCTTCTTTTGTCTTGCTTTTATGCGAGGTATAATCCCGCAATTTTTTGCATCAGTCAGAATCCTTGGGGAGAAAATTACTAACTGCCCGCCAAAGAAAAGAAAATCATTACGAAAACTTACTGCTAATCCACAGTGTCCACAGACCTAGGATTCTGAAGTACACAATACTTGCCATTTGTAGAGGAGCAGAGCAAACCTGATGACGGGATATTTTGGAGATTCAATAGGATATGCAAAATTCTAGAAAATCTACTTTAAACTTTCAGAGAGAACAAGGATAGGAAGACAGAGTTAATGAAAAGGAGGCCTCTGATTGGACTGGGGAGAAACACTACTTGCCCAACACACCTAAAATGACTATTACTGGATAATGACAGCCGATGTCTCATCCAAAAGACAGTACCTTTAGCTAGTTACCTGAGCCTGAGGCAAGTGCAGCAGGAATTCATAGTGGGAAGTTCTACGTTATGAATCATTTCATAGGTGCTTCCTTAACATTTACATTTTTTCCTGAAGTCTCAGTGGCAACCAGACCTGATTCAACTTAGGTTTTTTGAGCTCATAAAAGGTAAAAAAATTAAAGTTAAGGAGACAGGCTGGCAATTTAACTTCAAAACAACTCCCACATTTAGTGGCTAATTATCATTTAAATGGGTTAAAAGAGGTGAGAAATTTGGGAGGACTAGAATAAAATAAGATTCTATTAAGAAAAATACTTACCAGGAAAAAGAGTATGAAGTATATATAAGCTAGTGAGTTAACACAAGAATGGGAGAACTAAAAACCAAGCCAGATAGATGGTTATTATCTAACCTGACAATGAAATGAACACTGAATCAATCAGGACTTGAACTGGGGGCGGTGAGGAGGGGTGCCGGGGGAGACAAAGCCCACCACAGTGGGAAAGAGATGACACCTAGATTTGGTAATCAGGTTTATGGAGCTCGGTGAGACATCCTAGAGAAAAACAAGTAACAATTAAAGGATAAGAACAACTAATTTAGCCAGTAAAGATGAAAGCAAATCAAATGGATGGCCACAAAGCATGGCCCAGCAATGACTAAGGGGAAACATATTAATAGCACCTTCATGAAGTTGTACACACCAAGCTAGACAGGCATGAGGGGAGGAGGGAGGTGAGAGCTGAGAAGGGGTGGAGGCACTGGTTTCACAGGTCACTGAGATGGAGTTTCAGGGGATGAGGGAGTGAAATAGAAGACAGGAAAATTTTGAGACGAACAACTGGAAAATTGGACCAACACTTGGAGGGTGAAACTCTCACCCAAGAGAATGGGTGGGAGCTCAGTACCTTGGGAGGGCTGAAAGCTGTCTGTCCCATGTTGTCTCATAGGACATATAGGAATTCTCACATTGCCACCAAGAGAAAAAGGCTCCTCCGTCTCTCTCTACATGTGAGCATTTAAAACAGGTCTGACACAGGAACAAAACAAACAGTGCAGTTTATAACAACCGTTCACCTAAAGACAGACAAATGCAAAGAGTTCCCTACTTTAGGAAAAATATACAAAGAACAAAACAGTAAGCGGCCATTAATCACATGCTAAAATCATGTTTTTACTAACAGAGTGGGCCAGAGTCCCACTGTTTACAAAATACATGTTTATCGACATTAAGTTTTTCCTGACATTTTAGGCTGACTAACTTCTTCCTTGTCCATAAATGGTTCTGGGGAATCTTCCAAAGCTAAATAAATCTCAGGACAAAGGAAGAATGCCAGGCAAGCAGTTAAGCCTATTGTTTCTCTGAACACACACACACACACATACTGTTTGACTTCACATAAAGCATAACCTAGAAATTCATTTCTCACACACACACACACACACACACACACACACTCTTTGACTTCACATAAAGCATAACCTAGAAATTCATTTCAATCTTGGGAACATTTTACTGAGAAGTACTCCAGGAGGTTCTAATTTACAAGTAAGTCCCCAAGCCTTCCCCTCAAAATTAAATGTAAATTACTTTGGAATTGGAAACTCAGAATATTCAGAGCCTTTTCTCTCTAGTCCCTAGGATGAAAAGGGAATTCCTTCTTCTTTTTTTTTTTTTTTTTAATTTGACAGAGAGAGACACAGTGAGAGAGTGAACACAAGCAGGGAGAGGGGGAGAGGGAGAAGCAGGCTTCCTGCAGAGCAGGGAGCCTGACATGGGGCCTGATCCCAGGACCCTGGGATCATGACCTGAGCCGAAGGCAGACGCTTAACCTACTGAGCCACCCAGGCGCCCCGGGGATTCCTACTTCCACTCCTCTAGCCATGGGTTTGGCCTACTTTGGTTCTTTGTGGTTGGCAGACCTCCTAACCTCCACACGGCAAATTATGTGAATACTGGAAGCATAAAGCAGGATCTCCTCGCTCAAATCTGCTTCTTCTTTTTCTTGACTATGCAAATAAATGACTAGGAGAACTATTCCCTTAAAAAAAAAAAAAAAGGATTTATTTATTTATTTGAGAAAGAGAGCGTGTGTGAGCTGGGGGAGGGGCAGAGGGAGAGGGAGACAAGCACACCCCACCCCCCACCACTGAGCAGACCCTGAGATCACAACCTGCGCCAAAATCAAGTTTAACTGACTGAGCCAGCCAGGCGCCCCAAGAACTGTTCCTTAAGAAACCATAGACCAAACCTGAGCTAGGCAGGCTGAGATGCATTTTAATCACATGAACTTATGCTTTCTACTGAACTCCAGACCCTGCTGCCTGGGTGACCGTGCCCCTTAGTGTTTGCTAAGAATCTTGAACTGAACACACCCCAAATCAAACTCTCGATTTCTCCTCTCAAACCCGTTCCTCCCAGCATCTTCCCCTTAATTGCTAATTGATGTCCCCATCATTCCAGTTGCCTAGGTCAAACACCCTGGAGTTTTCTTTGACACCTCCCAAACATCCCACATCCAGTGTAGCAGCAAACTCTACTGCCTGTGTCTCCAAAATACATGGAAATTCCTATTATTTCTCCCCATCTCAACTGCTTCAACCCTGTCCAAGTCACCATCACCTTGTGTCTAACTCCTAACTGAACCTCCTGCTTCTACCTTTCTCCTTGTAGATCTTCCCACCCTACTCCCCAAAAGCCAGAGGGACACATTTAAAACCCAAGCCAAATCAAGTTACCACTCTGTTCAAATTCTTCCAGGGGCCTCCCATCTCAAAAGTCTTACAGCCCATGAAGGCTTCCACGATCTGCTTCACAACACTTATCTGACAACCTCTCCTCATCATCCTTTCTGTTCCACCTACAAAGGGCTGCTCGCTATGGCCTAATCACGCCAAGAATGTTCTCGCCGCAGGGCTTTGCACTTATCTCTTCTGCCTGGAATGCTCTTCTTTCTGCCAGATATATGCTTGGCTTGCTTCCTCACTTTCTTCAGATCCTGGCTCAAGTGTCACCTTATCAGAGAAGCTACACCAGCGCATATAAAACCACCACCCCGGATCATGAATGGGGTCTTGAAGAATAAAAAGAAGTTTACCAGGTGGAAGAGACAGACGCTGAGCAAAGAGTTCGTGCAGCAGTGTAATACAATATGGTATGTTCAGGCACAAAAAGTGAATCATTATTTCTGGAACATAAATTTTGGGAAGGGGAAAGTAAGTCTGGCAGTTAGACTGGAAAGGATAAAGGTCACAAAATGAAGGGCCTTGTATGCCATGTAAAGGAGCTCATCCTTTGTCCTGTAAGATGATGGAGATTCCCTGAGAGTTTTAGGCAAAGGGAGTGGCATGGTTAATAAAGAAGGTTATAAATAAACCAAGAGAATAAATATGGGGCTGGGGGCTGAGACTGGAGTCCAAAAGATTCACTAGGAGAAAGTGGTTTCTCCTATACTCACACTGAGAGTATGACTATATGGAATGCTTAAAAAATACAGCTGGAACCAAGGAGTAAAGAGAAAGCCAAATTTCTGCTATCTGATGTGACACCAAGTGAGCCACCACCTCGGAGAACCCACAAGAACACACCTACCACCAATGACAGCCTTCCCTTAAGACAACCGAAGCTGATGATGCATGTTAGATCTAGCATCTACCCAGCCAGGCTTCCAGCAGTCGTCAGGCCCTGGAGCCTTGTCCAAACCTGGTTAACTGGCTGATGAGTTTTATATGCCAAGGAAGGTACAGCTGAGTCCTGTGCTGATATTCTACTTAATGATGTTACAGAATCTGCTTTTCTTTCTTTCTTTTTTTTTTTTAAAGATTTTATTTATTTATTTGAGAGAGAGAATGAGAGAGAGAGAGAGCATGAGAAGGGGGAGGGTCAGAGGGAGAAGCAGACTCCCTGCTGAGCGGGGAGCCTGATGCGGAACTCGATCCAGGGACTCCAGGATCATGACCTGAGCCGAAGGCAGTGGCTTAACCAACTGAGCCACCCAGGCGCCCGTCTGCTTTTCTTTCTTGAGGTCAGGCAGCTCTATAGTACAGTAGTTAATAAGGAGAGAGAGTGGACACAGCCTAGGGGTGGAGACTAGGAAACATGGGCTCTAGTTCTAGCTCTGCAGCTTGTGAGTCTATTCAAGCCTCTTCTCCCTTCTACCTCATTTCTCCATGAATCTCCGGGGTTTGCATCCTCCTCCCATTTCTGGGAATTTTCATGCTCTGTATTTCACAGAGAAGCACCACAACAGCCACATAAAATGACATTTTTAGAATCATACTTGCTACAAAACAATTTCCCACTTATGCATTTTTACGTCTCAAGGTTACTGAATTTGTTATTAAATATATTTGAACACTGGGAATAATTCTGAGATTCAAAAAGGAATGCTCTTTTCCATTTCAGTCAACTGAAGTATTCTTCCAGGGAGACTAGGTATGAAAGGATAAATAATTTTGATACAATGTCTTAATTTTTTTAAATTACCAATTTTGTTGCTCTCCAATCACCTTTTGAAGTTTGGGATAAAAAAGTATGAGTTTTTCCCATGGTGGAATAAGAGCATAACTGCATAAGAGCAATAAAACAATCATTTCTGATTTTGTTCAGTTATAGCTCCTAAAAAAAAACCTGTTAATCCAGCCAGATTATTTAAATCTGTTTATTCACTGAGGTACTTGAAGTGTTTAGAACAGTATCAGACACATAGTTGGCATTCACTAAATATTTGTTGAATCAATGTGTAAGAAACTTATTCACAGAGAATGGACAGAAAAGTCCAGATGGAGAGCTAAAATGTACTAGTTTCAGCCAAATGCAACTACTGTCTTATAACATAATGAGGGAAAGAAATAAAAAGTGTGACCCAAAGCAAAGGATAATACCAACTGAACAACATATTTATACTAGAAAACCTGCATATCTGGTATATGTTGTGGCGCTCATTACTTACTGTATCTGCAGCAGTGAGATTGATACCCAGTCCTCCAGCTCGTGTACTTAGCAGGAATACAAAGATGTCATTCCTGTAGAAAAGGGAAGAAGATATGTTAAGAGGGAATACTAAAAGAGAAAGACAGCATGCATGTGGCAAAAACAGAGATCTCTGAAAACAGAATAGTGTCCAGGACTAGAAAGGGTTATCCAGGCCTGATCCACATTTCTTGACACATTGTACCAAGGTGCTCTGATGTTAAAATAGAATCATGGTTGTCATCTCCTAATATGCAGATATACTTCTGCAGCCTACTAATACTGATAGACTGATAGGCAATATAATTATAAACATGTAGCAAACATAACAGAAAAATATGTTATCATGGAAACAGTTATATAGTGTCATAGTTCAAACAAGTCAAGCCATTCCTAGGTTCATACAGAGGGAATAAAATCAGTATCCCTTGGCACTTCCCCCAGGAATCATGACTACGAATAATTTGGGAACTAATGATTATACTTTCCCAAAGCACTCATTTTTAGAAGAATAGTCAGTCCCAGAAAAATGACCCTGAGGTCAGGACTAAGGTCCAGGTCATGACTTCTATGTATTAAGGTGAACTTAGGATCAATCTATGAAGACAGGCTGGAATTAAAGTACTTTTTAATGTATGGCAACATAGCCCCCGTGATTAGATATAGTTGTCTCAGTTTCCCTTGACGTCCTTCGTCCTTTTAAAGAAACCCAGAATTATAAATAAACCGGTACCACTGTCACTCATTCAGACAACAAATATTTACTGAATACCTTCTAGGAACAGGCCCATGCCAGGTCACAGTGAGCAGGCTTGGACTATAAGATTTATCTATGTACACACATACAATTAAGGGCTCAGTTTGATCCCAATTCTTGCACATTTTTAAAAAAAATTTTATTTATTTGACAGAGAGAGAGACAGTGAGAGAGAGGGAACACAAGCACGGGGAGTGGGAGAGGGAGAAGCAGGCTTCCCGCCAAGCAGGGATCCGCATGTGGGGCTCGATCCCAGGACGCGGGATCATGACCTGAGCTGAAGGCAGAGGTTATTTTCCAGAACATTTCAGAGAGAAAGGAACTGCATTATACCGGTGCGCAAACTTTACAGTCCTTTAAATCAAGCTGCTAATCTCTTTTCTCATGATTAAAATTGCAGGTCACACCTTATTACTGGTCATGAAATCAGTTTGGTAGATTGGACTACATTAAAGAAATAAAGAAACGATTAGAACAGATTAGAAAATATTGTAATACAGGGGTACCTGGCTGACTCAGTCGGAAGAGCATATGACTCAAGTTTCAGATATGGCATAGAGGTACTAAGAGGTACTAAATTCCAATGTAAAATGAATTTTACTCATCCCTTGATGCTGTTCTTCCCTGGTAAAGTCATTTGACTGAAGGTCTGTTTCCTGGACTATAAAATGAGGATGCTCTGAATACAGCTGAAGTGACTAAGTGATGACATATCAACAGTAAACATGAGTATCAGTGAAGTTAGCCTCCTGGTTAATCACTAAGCTGTGTTGGTCCTAGAGAAATCTGTCTATTATTTGCATTTAGTTAAACACAAGGTTCCCAGAGGCAGGAATGATAACAAAGTATGTCTGCAGGCCTGTTACAAGGCCAGTTTCCAAAAGGTCTATATACCCACTGAAGTTCTACTAGTTTATCCTTGAATATTATCAAATTTAATATTTCATAATTTTATTTATTTAATTTATAAAATGTCCTCATTTATAGTTAATACATATAAGGCAAACCAAAAAGTTAAAAGGTACATGCTAGTTTGCAAACACATTTTCCTATAGATATGAGATGATGTGAATGGAAGCTTGATACCTTACAGCCCAGAGGAGGGTATCTAACCACAGTGAGGCTGCAAATAAAAACTGACTGAGCTTTCCAGGGCTGTAGTAACTAATCTCTACAGAAGAATTCTTCCTTCTCTGACCCTCTGACCCTCACTGCTCCTCCCCATACTTCTCTCTGCTGCTTTGGTGGAAACAGAAGCAGTGGTCAGAGGCTTCTCTCCAATACCTGTGTGAGAGGGGACGGAACCACCCAAAGGCTAGGACTCATGGTAATTCCTAAAGAAGTCCATAGCCTGAGCAAGGGGTGGGGCGGGGGAAGGGAGAGGAGACAGGGAGGGAGGTAGAAAGCAGTTGGGAACTGCAATACAAGGAAGGGTAGAGGCAGGGGTGCCTGGGTGGCTCAGTTGGTTAAGCATCTGACTGTTGATCTCAGCTCAGGTCTTGATGTCAGGGTCTTGAGTTCAAGCCCCATGTTGGGCTCCACACTGGGTGTGGAACCTATTTAAAAAAAAGAAGGGTAGGGGTGCCTGGGTGGCTCAGTTAGTTAAGTGTCTGCCTTTAGCTTAGGTCATGATCCCAGGGTCCTGGGATCGAGCCCTCAGTCAGGCTCCTTGCTCACCGAGGAGCCTGCTTCTCCCTCTCCCTCTGCCTGCTGCTCCACCTGCTTGTGCGCTCTCTCTCTCTGTCAAATAAATAAAATCTTCAAAAAGAAAAGGGGGTGTAGAGGCAGAAAAATGGGTCATTTCCATAGTCTGGACAGCCAGAGGTAAGTCCCCAGATATGGTAATTACTTATAAACAGGGACCACATATAGAAAAAGCAGTGAAGGGAATCTAGGTAAAAATAAATCAGTAGCGGGGCGTCTGGGTGGCTCAGTCATTAAGCATCTGCCTTCGGCTCAGGTCATGGTCCCAGGGTCCTGGGATGGAGCTCTGCGTCGGGCTCCCTGCTCCGTGGGAAGCTTGCTTCTCTCTCTCCCACTCCCCCTGCTGTGTTCCCTCTCTCGCTGTGTCTCTCTCTGTCAAATAAATAAATAAAATCTTAAAATAAATAAATAAATCAGTAGCAAAACTTAGAAATATATAACAATAGAAGACACTTTTTTTTGGGATATTAACTATGTATTGAGAAGATGCCTTTTAATGATAAGGTAGATGGTAAGCAGCAAGGTTTGATAATTTTATCATATTGAAATGAAAAAATAAGGATTATGGAAACCTTGGGTTGTTAAAATAAATTACTGTCCATCCCAGAATACACTGCTGGATCATTTAATAAACAAAAACATCTAAATAAAACTGCTGAGAAATTCCTTTCAACTTAATAAATCTAGTATTGATAATGTGAATTACTGTTTTGGGGGCTCTGACTAAAGGGAAGAAAACAGAATCCCTGAAGACAACATGATGGTTTGGGTGCCCTCTAGGGGGCTGAAAAAGAATTTCAACTCAGGGTTTCCACTGGAGCAGGCCTCAGCAAGCAGACTTCTGGGCGGTCTGGGAATGAGCCTATGAAATCATGGAGCAAAGATGTGCTTAGGTCTCTTATTCTTGTTTAATGACCCACTGAGGCCACTTTGCACCAAAATACCCAAATAGTCCTGGCATGTAGCCTAACCGACTGCAGTGAAGACTTGCTCAATGACTGAAAGAGAGCCAGAATGAAAGAAGAGGCTGGAACTCTACAACACTCTCACCAAGAAAGAAAAAATCAACACTACACTCACTTTCTCTCATGTTTTCTAAAGGGTCACACCCTGAGGGATCAGATGATGTGTGTGTGTGGGTGATCCATATGGTAAAATGTCATGGGTAGGAGGAAGGGAAGCAAAGGCTGAGGCACTCCAGAGCAAAGACCTTGTGAATGGCTTCTAGGATCATGCACTGATCACATGTTCTGAATGTTGCCCAGTCAGGACATCCTGGCCAAACAGTCTTTAGTCTCAGCCGGACTCTTTCCTGGAAGGATCCCTCATAAATAAATCTTGTATGAAGGGAATGTAAATGGCTTTTTATAGGAGTTCTTGTTTACTCTGGCTGACCTTTGAGCCACAGGGCTCTCCAGTTGAAACTACATTTTTTTCTTTTGATGTCTTTTCATTAGTAATAACGAAAATATTTGGCAAGGCATGCTTTTTTGTTTTCAAAAACACCTGTCTTTTTCTTTATATTGGGCTACATCAGCCACTCAAATTTGTAAGCTGAGAACTTCTTCCCATTTGGAGGGGTCTGCTGGATAAGCTTATCAACATAGGCACAGTTCAGACTCTATATATGAGAAGAAGTGATTATGTCCTACTCATAATTCCAACTCTAGTCAACTAACTACCTCACCATGTAGGCAGGGAAGGAGACATTAGTCTGTTTTTTTCATTTTGCCTAATATTAGACACAGGTGTTAAAATGATGGTTACTCAAATGTTGGATCTCAATAAAAAACACTGCTCCCTAAGTAACTCAGTTATAGGGTCTGGAAGCTTAAGTAAGGTTTCCCAAGAAAGCTGTGTAAAACAAGTATTTACTAAGCAGATCTAGTATAATTTAATGGTGAATATACCGTTCTTTTAGAACTAAGCTTTTCAAAAACAACTGTGCGATATATTACCCAAACAACTGTTCCACAAGTTAAAGATTTCAGAAATAATGAGTTGGATATATCTAGTAGTCCTTTCCACTAAAAGACCACTGTAAAATATACTGAGCCTGGAATCTCATGTCCGCTGGGTCAGCTAGAAGAGCTGTACCTCTATGATTCAGAAGACTGAATCATTACAAATCAACATACTACAGCTCGTTGGATGCTAAGTTGGCAGAACTTTCTACAGAGCAATGTGACAATTTGCAAAGTCTTAAATATTCATATCCCTTCACTCAGTAATTTTCCTTGTTTGAATCTCTATTAAGAATACTAAAATGCTGGGACGCCTGGGTGGCTCAGTTGGTTAAGCGTCTGCCTTCAGCTCACATCATGATCCTGGCGTCCTGGGATCAAGCCCCACATTGGGCTCCTTATTCTGTGGGGAGCGTGCTTCTCCCTCTGCCCAACGCTCCCCCTGCTTGTATTCTCTCTCTCTCTCTGACAAGTAAATAAAATCTTAAAAAAAAAAGAAAAAGAAAAAGAAAACTAAAATGCTGATGAAGCTTTGTAAACAAAGATATTCACTCAACATTTTAACAATAGAAATATGGTATAAATATCCAGTGTAATGGAATATTAGTCATTAAAAATGATTACAAAGACTTTTTAAATGATATGCAAAGATGTTTAATATATAATGTTAAGTGGAAGAAATAAGGACACATAATCGTATCTACAATATGGTATCAACATGTACATACAACCACATACATATTAAAGACCAGAGGGATATACCTAAGAGTTGAAGCTCTTAGGTTGGAGTAGGCAAGGAAAAAGTAAAATATGTTTCATTTGATTTCAGAATCAAGAAAAGACTAAGGTCAGCTGGTAAAAAAAATTTTTTGGGTGTGGGATAACAATATGATGGAGTTAGGAGGGTAAAAGGGAGCCAACCTCCTGGCACAGTCGAAAATCTGGATATAATTTTTGACTCTCCAAAAACTTAACTACTAATAGCCTACTGCTGACTAGAAGCCTTACCAATAATACAAGCAGTTGATTAATACATACTTGGTATGTTATATGTATTTTATATTATAATCTTACAATAAAGTAAACCAGAGAAAAGTTATTAAGAAAAGCATAAAGAAGGGGCGCCTGGGTGGCTCAGTTGGTTAAGCGACTGCCTTCCGCTCAGGTCATGATCCTGGAGTCCCGGGATCGAGTCCCGCATCGGGCTCCCTGCTCGGCAGGGGGTCTGCTTCTCCCTCTGACCCTCCCCCTCTCATGCTCTCTCTCTATCTCATTCTCTCTCTCAAATAAATAAATAAAATCTTTAAAAAAAAAAAGCATAAAGAAGAGAAAATACATTTATAGTACTGTTTAATATTTATTGGAAAAAACCCATGTATAAGTGGACCTGCGTAGTTCAAAACCATGTTGTTTGAGGGTCAACTGTATTATGCTATATATGTCTCAAATAATCAATTTAAGAATCTGCCAATAGCTTCTGCTAGGTTAGGCCATCCACATAGTTGCTCCTAGGTAACAAAGTGAAATAGGTTCAAAGCAGACCTTCCCCCTCCATTGTTGGTCAAACAACCACTTGAATTCAGACATACAGTTTCAACTTAGGAGTTACTGGCTAAGTGAGTGTAAGACTGTAAACCAAAACAGAGTTTATCTCCTTACTTGTGCTTCATTATAAAGCATCATGCAATAGCAAAAATGATCAGAGGGCATTCTATGTGGAACCATGAATTTGTTTTAGGCTAAACTGTTTTATATCTGAAGCAAATCATGCTTTAAAACTGAAATGAACAAAATGAAAAATTATAACCTAAATACAAATGACTATGTGCTTAATTTTCTTCCCAAGAATCAAAAAATATTAACAAAGTACACAAAGTCCAAAAATCCAGAACTGTTGTGATTTACAGCACATTAAGATCTACTCTATTCTTAGTTACCAGGTCTAAGGAAGAAAATTTAAGGGTGGAGTTCAGCAGCCCTGTTACTAGCTGGTGGAGCTTGGCTTTCTCCTTGCAAGGAGCAGTAACCAGACTCTGCTTATTACAAGGAGAACCTGCACTTAGGATAATTATGGCTCTGTAAGCCATGAGCAGCCAGCAGGCGGTATTTGAAATTTCATAGGCTCATTATCAGGTGGGAGGAGTACTGTAACTGAGAGCTGCCGGCTGAAGACTGTGCACCACTGCAATCTGTCATCCTATACTGTATTACTACCATGCTGGAGGGAAAGCAGGAAAGAGGAAGGTATTTTTCTTCCAACTTTTACAAAAGAGGTAAGGAAAACAAACTAAAAATCAACTATAAGTCAATATCCAGAGATCGCCACTGTTAACATTTAGAAATACAGCCTTGTGGATTTCTTTCTACATAAATATTATCCATATAAAGGAGGATCTTAGTTCATACACAGAAATCATTTCTTTTATTGCCCAAAAAGAAGGGTGCTGATTTGGTAAGAAGGCATTTTTTTTTTTTAAAGATTTTTTATTTATTTATTTGACAGAGAGAGAGAGAGCAAGAGCAGGAACACAAGCAGGGGGAGTGGGAGAGGGAGAAGCAGGCTTCCTGCCGAACAGGGAGCCCAATGTGGGACTCGATCCCAGGACCCTGGGATCACGATCTGAGCCGAAGGCAGACGCCCAACGACTGAGCCACCCAGGCGCCCAAGAAGGCATATTTTGAATACAAAAATTATCGAGTATTCCTTTTCTCTCTCTCTCCCCCCACACACATAGATCTGAACCAATATAAGCAGATTTAGCTACCTCTTAAAATGACTATATCATGATTGCTTAACAATATGAGATATGTTGACATTTCTTTTAAACTCATTATCTTAAGCACTAAAGAAAAATCAAATGAGAATTTTTGTAATTTCTATTAACGTTACCTGTTCTGAAAATCAGCAACCATGTCCCGCCTCTCTGAGATCTTGGATGAGCCATCAAGCCTCATGTAGGTATGCTTCCTGTAAACCATGTATTCCTGCCAATCAGAGTAAACAAACAGAAGTTGGATGCAAATTACTGTATTCTAATTCCCACAACATCTACCCACCTTCCACCTCATCCTTACTGGGGGCAAGTCATTATCCAGAATAAGAAGAAAGTAATCTCAAAAGTACAAGAACTTAACTTGTAAATGAATTTACTGCCAGTATGTGAAAATTGAGAGCATCGTGAAGACTACAGCCACCCTCAATTTCAACTTGGAAACTAATCATATTCTTGCAGATTTCAGTAGGTTTCATGAAAATAAACCAACAAAATAAAATGAAATTTCCAAATAAAAATTGCCTTTCAGTCAGCGACCAGATGTTTCTCGCAGCTATGGAATATCTAGTTTTCTTTTCGTAAGTAACTTGCTCTGGTGTTTTTCTCCCTAACATATCCTTGCTGACCAATATCCTTGAATTTAAAACCCAAGTTTCCTTCTCCCAGCAGAGCATGCATCATTGTTAAGGGAAGCCTAAGCATCAGAGTGAACAGAAGACAAGGTAACTTTCCATGGCAGAGCATGTTCTGGACATCATCTCTAAGAGGAATTACAGCTTTTAAGAATGGAGAAGAAACTTCAAGAGATGCAATGGACAGAACATAACGCCATTTTTAGAAGCTACAATGCCTCTTACAGATGATGTCCAAATGAGCACTGATTTCCTCTTTCTTACCCCTGATTATATGGATTACACTTCAAGAAGTCCATTTGTAGAGGAACCACTATCAAAAACTCAACACAGCTGCCTATTTATAAGGAGCACCATGAAACAATCCTATTGAAAAAGACTAGTTATTTCTACATTTGGGAGATGTCTGTGTTAATTCTCTATGGTCAAATGTTTGTTTGTTGCAATATTCTCTTATGTACCTCTTATTATACCTGGCTGGGTATTTCAGCACACGAGGTTGCTACAGCTGGGTACGGCTGTACAGTGCATGTGGCAGCCTACTCTTAGAGCAAGTTAGTACCAAAACTCCTACAATGGCTTGGCAGAGGTCTCTGGCTAGGGTAACTATGAGGTGAGGCTGGTTGACAAAGTAGACAAGCTCATCGAGGCACACATCTTCATTGTGGTTTGTATGTGTTTTTACTATTTCCTTCTTTCTCAAGTGGCTCTTTAAGGGCTTTGATAATCAAAGCGGGGTAGAACATATTCAAAGAATTTCAAGTTCATATTTAGTGGTACAGCCCTATAATGAAACTGGATTAATAGCAGAAGAGTAGGGGATGTCTTAGATAAGGAAGGATTCAGGAAAAAAAGATGAAAAATGCCAGCATGAGGATAGTCTTTAGAGACTCACTATAGCTTGGCAGCTAATTTAATCAGGGGATGCTGCCATCCAGAACAACCAAATAACTAGATTATACACAGAGACATCCATAGGTTGGACTTCTACCACAAGGTGGGCTTTCTGCACAGGCACTCTTGCCTTCTGAACCAGAACTTCTAAACTCAGTGAGAGCACTGATGAATGAATCTTTCTTGTAGATCTTACTGTTGACATTAGTTATATGTCAAGGTCAGCATGACACCAGAGATATTAATCCTAGACCATAATCAAACCAACACTGATTACACAGAGCCTGTTACTGAGGCAACAGAAGTGAATCTTTTCCATTTACTGCTTTAAGCCTTTGCTCTCCCACCCAGGGGAGCAGTGGGATTTCAGAAGGCTTTGATGAATTTAGATCCGATTTCAGTAAATAGCTTCAAAACAAGTAAATGGACATGGAAAAAGCAGTTAAAAGCAGAATAGAGGAATGTCTATATCCTCACACCACAGAAAAACAGCTAAAAGATAAAGGCAGAGATGAAAGAGCAATTCAGTATTTCCTTCATTCAAAAATTCTGGCTATACCAAAGCTCTTCTAGATGTGTCTCTAAAATTCTGGGTGTTTTAGAAAAGATACTTAATTTAATCCAGAAAGAAATGCCTCATTTCTTTCAAATGCTAATTTCAAGACATATGCCCACTTCTATGCTTAGTTCAGCTTTCCTATGATCTAAAAAATCTAAAAATTCAGAATAAAATAGAATTCTATCTTGTTAAAAGGCATTTTTATCAAAAAGAATTTGTGTCAAAACACAAATTCTAACAATAAATGACAAGTTATAGCACTGTGAATATTTATTTACTTATTTATATTTAAGTAATCTTTACAGCCAACATGAGGCTCGAACTTATGACCCTGAAATAAGAGTCACATGCTCTTCTGACTCAGCCAGCCAGGCGTCCCTCGAAAATTTATTTTTAAAAATCTATTTCATATATATATATATATATACACACACACACACACACACACATATTTAACAATCTCTACATCATAAGGTTTTCTAAGATCCATTTTAAATATTCCGTCATACCCCAACTCTTTGTAGTTCATTCCCATGTCTGAGGACCACTACTGGCTGATTACCACTTGCTGGATGACTTTACGATGGTCTGTAGGAACTGTGTCATGCTTAGCACTCCTGTGCATTAAAGAAGGCTTACGGAACAGAAAGACGAACCATTATCCAGTCCTTCCTTACACAAGGTACCCTGTAGACATCAAGGATATCTCTCACCCAAGTCCCTTTTGGTATTTAGGAAAGACTTAGAACATGATCCGCCAGTATGATTAAATTTCCTGGAGCTTTGTAAAGCAATTCTTTTTGCTCCACTTAAAGAAGCAAAGAGAGAAGAGAAACCAAATACAGACCTTCTTCCTCTTCCAGGTCTCAAAATTTAGTATCCTCCTTTAATTAAATAAATATGAACATCAGTACTCTCAAGTGGATTCTTGTGGATCAATAACTACTAACCAAAGTAAATTCTAATACTGCTTGAACTAATAAAACAAAAATTATGGCTTTTAACATTTAGGAAGCTTGAGAGCTATACAGTCTTAGTAGATACTATTTTTAAAAATTGTACTCTTGGTATTTGAGTAGTAATTCTCAACCAGGATTAAAAATACATGTACCTGGACCCACCCCAGGGATTCAGACTCTGTAGGTCTGGGAGAGGGCCTGGACTGGTTTATTTTTAAAAAGCTCCAAAGATGAGTGCAATAGACACCCTATATCTGCAGCTGAGAACCACCACTACAAAGAGAAGGCAGGACAGGGGTCGCTCAGAATCCTGCTATTGCAGCATTGCTTTCAGATAAGTGGCACTGGGAACACCTGCAATTTGTTAAAAATGCAGAATTGAGGAGCACCTGGGTAGCTTAGTCGGTTAAGCATCCGACTCTTGACCTCAGCTCAGGTCTTGATCTCAGAGTTGTTAAGTTCAAGCCCTGTGTTGGGCTCCATGCTGGGTGTGAAATCTACTTAAAAAAAAAACAAAAAACAAATGCAGAATTGAGGGATATACCCCATAACTAATGAAAAAGAATTTGTGTTTTAACATGTATTACTGGTAAGTACTTCTCTTAAGTTTGAGAAACACTGTTGCAGAACAATATCCTTATACTGTTTTAAAAGCACTGGAACTTTTTCTTTTTCCAAGTGAAATCTTATATGAAACCCCTCTAGGGGCTTCTGGGTGGCTCAGTTAGTTAAGCATCTGCCTTTGGCTCAGGTCATGATCTCAGGGTCCTGAGACTGAGCCCCATGTCAGGATCTCTGTTCAGTGGAGTCTGCTTCTCCCTCTCCCCTCTGCTTCTGCTCTCTCTCTCAAATGAATAAATAAAATCTTAAAAAACAACAAAAAAGAAACCCCTCTAATATAAAATAGATAAAAAGCATTATTATTCTGGTTGATGAAAAAGGGGGAGTCCAGGGCCCCATCTGCTTAATCTCTACCTAAGTTTCCTGTCCTCTATCCCACCCTACCAGTTTGAAAACCACTCTTGAAATACACATTGAGAAGACAAGTCGGCTCTGGATCTTATCTGTAAGTTACTTTTAAAGCAGTAGCTGCAGAGGTATCAGTATAACTCAAAATACTTTCCACAAGTACCTCTCACTCCTTTAAAGTACACTAAATAAAGGCAAACATTCACACACCCAGTGGTGTATTACAAGGGACTAGGTTCATCTTGAAGTAGGGGTGATGATGGTGGCTAGCATTTATTGAGCATTTACTAATTGACAAACACTATTCTGTACGTGTTTTGCTTATCTAATCCTCACATAGTAGTCTTTAAGATAGGTGTTGTTATCGGCCCTCCCACGTTACAGATGTTAAGTAAGGTCTCTAACAGTTACATAGGCAGTGGGTAATGGAGCTCGGACTGGAACTCAAGTTAACTGGTGCCAGAGCCTCTGGCTTAACCCCTTTACTGCTTTCCACATGGAACAGAAGCTCACCACCACTAGGGAAAAGAAGGTGGTTGTTGTGTGTCAGGGAGAAGCCACGTAAGGTTCTTAATACATTCTCCATCCATTATCATCATAAAAAAAGGATAACTGGGCATTTGAAGAAATAAAGACAAATGTTTGTGTATCTCTAACATGAACGTTCCATTCTGAACCTTCTTTTCTATTTCAAAGTTGTCTAGGCTGTTCACTTCAACCCAATTTCACTTTCCCAATTTGGGGGAAAGACTCAGTATGATCCACAAACCTGAAGTCCTGATGTAACTATTTCCTGAACATGCCGCTTTCCATCTTTGGGGTATATCAGCAGCAAAAAGTAAGGCTCCTCTCAGTCTCTATTATAACCTCTCCGTTGCCCAAACAAATTGCACCAAATGAGTGAAATATGGCAGCCATCCTTCCCTTATCTAACACAAAGAGTCCTCTGGAGCAAGACCTAATCACAAGGCATACATAATCTGCCTTCACCCTATGTGTATCATTCCCTTTTATCCTATGCCATAAGCTCCAGTCACACTGAGCTAGTCTGCCCCAAATGTCTTGTACCTTCCCATCTCTGTGCCTTTTTATATCTGGCTTCCTTAGTCCGGAATGCCCTTCTCCCTGATGGTTAAAATTCTATTTAAGTTCAGTTCAAAAGTCACTATCAATGGAAACCCTTCCTCAAGTGACCCAGTTAGAAATAAATGTATCCATCTTGCTATCTTCAGCTCTGTTTATGGTTCATTCTGGGCACTGGTATCAGTGTACACCTGACAGTTGTGTGTGTGTGCGTGTGTGTGATATCCTCCACTAGATACGTTTCTTGAAGTCAAAGACCACATTTAATTTAAATTCACATCTGCCTAGCACAATGCCTTCCTCATTCTCGGCATGAAAAGAAATGAATGAAACTGAATAAATACAGTGTGGTTGTAAGCTGACACATTTCCTTCCATCATTCCTAAAGCCTAATCAAAATGCTAGTTAACACTGACCCCAATTTGCTTTTCATTCCGTGGGGCAGTTTTAGAATACCCAGCTTCCCAGTATGCTCAGAATCACAGCTCCCAAAGGTAACTGGGAGTTCTAGGAGTAGCCAGCTCATAAATGATAGAACGTCTGTTCAGGATGAATTCTATCCAAGTGAGGTACTTGCTGACTGGACAAGTTATGTAACCTAGTGTCTCAAATGTCATCATTAGCTATAGATTATCTGGATTTAATTCTGTATTATACTATTTTCATACACTGGTGCAGTACAAAATCTGTCTGGGTTTCAGTACTTAACAATCACACCACATACAGTACTAGCTGGCTGACCCTTTCCAAGTACTTTTGTATTGCATAGAAAATACTGACGCTTATTTCCTTAAACTACAGACTCAGCTGCTTGATGCAACAGGAATGAACCTCAAATGAGACAACCCAGAGATGATGTAAGTCATCTGTAGTGAGTTAAAGCTTTTTGCAACTGTCAGAATATGGTGGTAGGGGATGGGGAGGTTCCAAACTCGAGTAAAAGTGGTGTTGGTAGGAAAAGTTCTGTCTGACATCCCGCTAGACACCACCATCCCAACTGCACAAAGGCCATGTCTGCTTCCACAGTACCCCCACCAGCAAAGACCCTACAAGTGACTCAGTAAATGTAAAATAAATCCGTAACATAACATTTAGTGATCTAGCATATCCTCCCCTATCTATGGCTTTGACTTCTGCCTGTGGCACACTAAAAATTCCTGGCCCTGGAAGTTTAGCAGTCTGCTTTTTTATCCCCTATCCAGAAACAGTATTTAGATACCATGGGAAAGAATAAGACATGCCTGAATACAGAATTCTATTTGGAATAAGATCTGATATATTCACAAGAAACTTAAAGTCAGATTTTTGCCCAAGCGAAAGAGGCTATCAATCACTTCAAAAAAATACTGAGCAAATACTAAGTGCCCAGAACTAGTATTTTTCCCAAAATGGAAACCTGGTCACACAGAAGTATGTGTATTTTTACCATATTTTGGTTCTTCTGAGTCCTAGAAACAGACAAACAGATAGCCAAGGTGAAGGCACAGAACAAAAAGCCCAAAAAGGCTGTTGGATGAAAGAGATGCTGATGTGCCCCACAGTTACACAAAAGAGCTTCAATGCCCCCACATGAGTTTCTAATTTCTGCTCTATTGGAAGCTTTTCTTTCTTTCTTTCTTTTTTAATATTTTATTTATTTATTTTACAGAGAGAGAGAGAGCACAAGCAGGGGGAGCAGCAGGCAGAGGGAGAGTGAGAAGCAGGCTCCCTGCCAAGCAGGGAGCTCGAAGCGGGGCTTGATCCCAGGACCCTAGGATCATGACCCGAGCCGAAAGCAGACGCTTAGCTGACTAAGCCACCCAGGCGCCCCTACTGGAAGCTTTTCTTTCCCTCTTTGATATACAAGGTGTAAGATGTCAAGGTAAAAAAGAGAATCCTGAATAAAAAAATTTTTTTAAATCTAAAACTAACCAACCAAACAAACCCACAACACACTGAGAATGAAGAAGCAAAGCAAAGGTCAGCGTATTTTATTTTTTTAAAGAAAAGGTCAAGTGTACTCAAGGGAAAGCATCTGTACAGAAGGGTCTTTCTATAACATGATTCTTAGGTTCACATGCCAGGTCATGTTTTAAAGCTGAAACACGGCTCTAATGAATGTTTACAGTGAAAGCTTCTATTATGACAATGACTAAAAAACCCAGAATAACTCTTTGAAAAGGTAAAGAAATGTAGACCTAATCCTGCATTGCCGTAAGATCCCCAATACATTTACATTTCTTTTTTTTTTTTTTTAAGATTTTATTTATTTATTTGACAGAGAGACACAGCGAGAGAGGAACACAAACAGGGGGAGTGAGAGAGGGAAAGCAAGCTTCCCACAGAGCAGGGAGCCCAATGTGGGGCTAGATCCCAGGACCCTGGGATCATGACCTGAGCCAAAGGCAGAGGCTTAACGACTGAGCCACCCAAGCGCCCCTACATTTACATTTCAATAAATGATTAGACATGTATTAAACGCTGTGGGCATTTTAACTCCTTGCCCACAAAATAAATTTTGAGGATTAACCTCTTGAAATACAGAATGTGGTTCATTCGAGTAAAGAGTATTAAAAAAAAAAAGGACGAATGAACTTTTAGGAAATGTAATATTGAAGGAAAAAGAACAGTAAAGTGTTTAAAAAAAACCTAGACAACAGTTTCACTTCAGTTTTTCAGTAAAACATGTAAACAGCTGCAACATTTTTTTGGCTTCAGCATCCTAGATGCATGTTATCCATACAGCTAAAGAATGTTAGCAGCTGTGAAATTCAGTTTTCCCTAATTTCGAATTCCCCATAGAAAGATACAACTGTATTTAGAAGGTTTTCAGGCTGCCATGTTTGCAAAACCTACCCACATCATCCACATCCCCACAAACCTCTCCAAAAAACCTGCTGGATTAGAAAGATAGGAAGTGACCCTGGTGGGTAGGGTTTACAGCACTCATTCTGAACAAAGCTCATTAACATACTCTGAATCACTTATTTTGGTAATATTTAGGAGTGTGTAATACATAGAACAAGGAACTAAAATGTAGGACTGTATCAAATTTAAACCATCTACACTTCCCTTCAGCTCTCAGACCTAGCTATTTTTTGGTAGCTTACCCCACTTACTCTTGAACTTTCCTTTAACAGGAAGCAACTTTTAGGACTCCAAAATACACCGACATAGTCTTTGGGGAAAAAAAAGATCATCACTTCCCTTACAAAATCTTTAGCATACTGCTTTTTCTAGAATTCAGTGCAAGATCACTACTTCATCTGTACATCCCTGACTCTTCTGGACAAGGCAAGTGCACTTTATCTAAGAGGAGCCTCACTGACTGAAAGTTACTCATATTGTTTGGGCTGCTGGTATCATTTGGTTTGAACTGAACACTACAGATGCAGGCAGTTCCCTTTATTTTGGATTACTGCTGTTAGGACCTTTAACATAGGTAAAGATCTGCATCAAACACAATGGCTTAATTACTTCTCTTACAGTGATTTACAGCCACCAATAAGCATTTTTCCATCATTTAGAAATAGGTGACCTATTCCATAGGACAAAACAGAAAGTTCAGCCTGTTGACAGCATTTAAGGGGCCAAACACTGTACTAAATGCCAGACTTAGTGATTAAAGTGACCTCAAATATGTGTTATATCTCTTGCTAAAAGAAGTTGCCAGATTATTAAAAAGAGCCTGCTACCGAATTACCACATTATTGACTGAGAAATTCAGCAAGCCAAGCTTGGCTTCCAGAAACCTAAAACTTCTTCCCTACGCTAGCCTTCATTCCTTCTGTGCTGATGTGATCCCTACTCCCTTATTCCTAGATAGGGATAGTCATGGTCCAATTTCCCCTTATTTATTACCAGCTACTCCCTGGAGTAGCAGGGTTAGAATATGAAGCCTTAGCTATAAAAAGCCCATGGAAAAACATGCGAATATTTATATACTATTTACATCCAGGTGCTTTAGCCCCCGACCAGTGGCTTTTCAACTTTCTAGCACTAAACACGAACTCTGGTGGTTTGTGATGATTTGTCCTCAGTTTCACTCTCCTATTTCCATGTCCTTGACTTCCTCTCCCTAAAGTAATTAGCTCCCACTCACACAACAAGAAAGCAGAGAGAACATCAACATAGAAGTAACTGAAGAAACAGAAGGTGCCCTGCACAGTAAAACAAGTTGTATCTTTCAACATAACCTAGTGGTTCTCAACTCTGGTTGCCTATTATGATCACCTCAGGAGCTTTCAAGTCTCCTGATGCCTAGGCTGCATTCCAAAGTTATTAAATAACAATCTCTGAGGATGGGACAAGGTATCAGTATTTGTTAAAGCTCCTCCAGGAAAATGCAATATGGAGTCAAGTTGAGACCACTACATTAAGTCTGACTGAACAGCTGCTCTCTCGTTTTTTATACAGAGAACTAATTCTAAATCTTGTTTTCTATACAGTATTTCAGAGGACTTCTTAAGTATTCCTAAACTCTAATCTCCTTTAAAATTAGGGAATTTCTTCCCTAGTAAAGGAAGGAGTAGGGGACGTTCTATTTCACTGGTGTAGGGAAGGAGTTCCTTTGCATATTCTCACATCTGCCAGGAGCTTCTTCTCCCTTTATAGACAGGAAAATCACGAAGACAAGTTTTGGGTTCCCATTAAGCAGGACGGACATTAGTCACAGACATCTGATTCCTGCAAGTTAAATGTCAAGGTGTCCTAGGTCCCCAAGGTTCCTTCTCCTACCTCCAGCAGGTCTATCATCCTGGTCATCTGGGAGTAGATAAGGACCCTATGTCCTTGAGACTTGAGCCGAGTCAGGAGGACATCAAGGGCATACAGCTTTCCACTGTCAGTGATGAGGCTCTCCTTGCCTGGGGAGAAGAAAAGGGGGGGGAGGGGGAAACTGTATTTAATTGAAGCAGCAAAATCACTCACTGCAGAGCTGTATGCAGCCAAAATTACGACAACCAGGATGCTTGTCATCATGAGAGCAGGAAAGTAGAGAAGAAGGCAAAGCACTGTTCAGTCATGATCCAGTAGGGCTCTGGGAAGAAGTATCCTGAAAGAGGGAGGTGTACGCTCCCTTCCAACGGACAGTTCCCGTTCAGGTATCTGCTGCTAAGACAAATGAAAGCTTCCCTGCTCCATGTGCTTACTCAGGGGATAAGAGGTACACGTGGACATCTAAGAGTGAGGTCTATGTCATATCTGCTCTAAGTGACTTGAGAAACTTGTTTTTCCTTCTTCATCCTATCTCTAGATATCTGTTTCTGCTGGTTCTGTGGCTAAATGGTTTACATCTCCTGAAAGCATGAGAATGTAGAGAAACGAGGGCTACTCTTGCCTGTCCCTAGAGACACTTAAATACTGAGAAACGCAAATACACATATCCATTCCTGCCCCTCTGTTTAAATCCAAACCCCTTCTCCTTGATGATTTCAAACAGGTTGGCTGGTAAATGTCATTATCCTAAACTGTAATTCAATAAAGACACTAAGGTTTGTTCAGCTTCTCAGAAGGACTGACTTTGGGTTTCTGTGAAATGGAAGCTGCTTTTACTCACTAACTTGTGCTTTCTCTTTCCTCCTCCCATTAAAAAGAAAAAATAAATAAATAAATAAAAAAGAGCATTTTAGCCAGAGATCTTTACAGAGCACTTAACTCTCAAATTTTCACCTTATCCATTCAGTATCATTCATCTCCCATCACATTTCAGGAAGGAGAGTTTCCTGTTTGCAGACTGGTCCATAAACATGCCCTGAACAATCACTGCTACTAAGAGGGGGAAGAAATGAAGCTGAAGGGGCCAGGAGATTTTAAGAGTATACGTGGAAGTGGCCGTGGGGTGCAAAAAGGGAGAGACAAAGGACAGGGAGAAGACACAACTAACCACTAAAAGTAAAAAAGGGATCTATTAAAAAAACCCCACAGTCTATCCCTAGTTTCTGGGTTCGAACGCATGGTTTTTTCCCCTCAGAACTGCAGAGGCTGACTGTTGAGAGCAATCCAAGAGTTCTCAATGGATTATTTCTCTGTTCTCGCCACTATCTGCCAAGTGCACAATCATTGTATAAACTGAACGAGAACGGATGTGCTGACAGCACCATAACAAATCATCAGCCCCTCTGTTTTTGCTACAAAGCCACAAGCCCTGGATGTTTACTCCTCTGCGCTGCTGCTTGCCTCTTCCCACCTTCGGAACGCTGCCAGGCCACATCTCTCCCTCCACCACCCCCTCCCTGATGCTGGGGCACACACCTTTGTTCAGCCTCTTTGTTTGGTCCTGTTTAGATTACTGAAATGCTCTTCTTTTTGTTGATCTCCTTACCAACACAATCAAACGACTGCAGCTGGGACAGAACCAAACGCTAGGCCCTCTCCTTGGCACCAGACAAGGAGGCCTGTGTGGATTCCAAGTCTGATCAGGCGACAACGCTTTCCTAACAACTTCAACATTTCTCCTTTAATTGGATTCCCTGGGATCCCTCAATTTTGATAGCTCCTAAACATTCCCCAGAGTTTCTTCCTTTTTTCATTAAAAGCACAGTAAGGTGGAAAAAAAAAAAGAGAAGCCCATATATTTTTCAGTCATTTAGTAGAGTGGGCAAGCTAAGCTCATCGGATTTCTCCAGCAGCCTGCTTTTCTCTCCATTCACATTTACTCCCTCCACACAAGTATCTTAAAGTATGTAAATCTGTCTCGTGTCTGCATTTTGAGAAGCTTCATCTCAAAATCATGATTCAATGGTTTTCACATATTCCTGCTTCCCACATCTCCTTTCCTTTGCTAACGAGAACAAACTGATGCTAAGAGGAGGAGGCTCAGAGATGAAGATGCACAAAGAACTCTGATGCACCTGAAAGAAGCAACAGTGGTGCCCATTGTTAGCTGTTCCTGTGTATGTGGGAAGTGAAAGCAGATGGACTGGATTTCTTTGGACTACCCTGAAAGAAAAGGCCTAAGCAGAAAGAGACTGCAGCAACAGCCTTCGAATACTGAAGCAAGGAACAAGATTTCTACTTCTCCGTTAAGCACGCTGGCTCAGCACCCAGTACTTGTCCTTAAAAAGATAGGCAGAAAAAAATGGGTTTTCTTTCCCTGCACACATTGGGGTCTTTTGGGCCTGGCATCCACTACCCAATTTTTCAGGAGCTACCAAAGTTGTGCTGGACAACAGCACCACCTGTTGCTAAGCAGGGCACAGAGCCAAGAAGAGCACAATTCCCTAGAAATTAGGCTGATTGTGCCAAGTCAAACCTCTCTTTAAAACAGGATCTCAAAATGTTGTACAGACCTATCCTACTTTCTTACAATATTGTCTACGATCCTATAGTACAATCTTAAAGTATTTTCACTTAGACACAAGTTCTTACTGGCCACAGTATAAGAGTCTGCTTAGGGACAAAATGAATATATCCCATGGCAGTATAACTAGGCTAACAGATGAAATAACTCCTTTTTCCAAGGAGAGGAGACTTCTGAAAGGACTGTACATCTTTCTCCTGGTAAAACAGGAGATGTATTCAAAGGTGTGAAATCCAGGAGATTTTGGTCTTTCGGGGACTACTAATGGAACCAACCCTTCCCAAGGAAACAGAAAATGTAAAAGTATAGAGAAAAAAGAGATAAAATACAGGTTCCAGTGACCCCACAACCCCCCACCCCTCGCTGCCCTGCCCCAGCCAGTCTACAGAGCACAATGGGGTCAGTGAGGAGCAGGTTGGTTCTCACAGTAAACAGCCAGTGAGGCTGGCGCTTTTTATCGATGCGAAAAGAACTCAGACACTTCCTGCTATTTAAACAAGGTCCATTTTTCTTTCAAAGAACAGGAAAAGCCACAAGAGATTCCCACAGCGCCAGCAGTAAGCCCTCTACTCCTATACTGGGAACTTAGGAGCCAGAGTGAAGAGAGGAGAAAGAAGAAATAAGGTGTTGTCTTGCTTCTTTCAACACCTGTGCTCATCTTCTGCCTGGGATTCGATGGTTTCCAGTCCTGCTGGATTTTAGTCCTCTACTGCCACTACCAACCAGGCCTGCTTTACAACTGGGCTTTCCCCTTGTTTTCCAACAGTTACACCTTCACCCACTGCTTTCAGGTATTCGAAGTCCGCTACGAGGCCGCACACTATATGGCTCTCATAAACTCAAAATGGCATCTTCTAGTCCAAAGCACACCCACAGCTACTACCAGGCTGACCCAAAGTCCCTTGACACTTGGCAGATTCTCTCTTTTGGACGCTCAGCTCTAGTTTACTTCCATTATATCCAGTAAAGAATACAAAGTATCAGAGAATCCAGACAACCAAAACTGACATGGTAGCTCTCAACTACCACTCCAATCCGCCAGCAGGTGTAAGCAAAGAACATAAGCCTATGAACTCTGTGTTCAGTTTCCTTAAAAGTAGTCTCACTAAAGCAAAGATGAAAACCTAGTTTCCTTTCAACCCTCGACCTTGACTCTAGGAGGTCTGGGAATCTGCTAGCATTTTGGCACAAAACACAGTGTTTTTCTTCTGGTTATCATTCAGATCTCTAGTGCTCCGTGCAGGACACTGTTTATGCTACTTCAACTAGGCTTTCTGAGAGTGACGACATTCTCATTCACCCTACTGGCAATGGCACAAGACAACTGTACTCACTCGACCTGGAGCCTTTCCTACCAAGTTTATTTCTACCCCCCCCTCTTTTTTAAGGGTGGCATTCCTTTCTCAGCTGTAAGCTTGTCAAAGGAGAGTACGTAAGCACAAATCTAAAAAACATTTCTCTCTTAAGTCATAAATTACTTCAGTATTTTTACCTATAAAGTTAGTAAGGGCAAAACAGGAAACAAACCCCAAGAACTTTGAATTCCAAATATCTAAAGCCACCACATGGAGTATCTCCTCGGTTCCTCTTCCCTTGCCAGAGCGGGCAAAACGCCAAGAGAACAGAGAACTTACCTGGAATCCTGATGAAAGACCAGCCATTCTGAGGCCTGATGCTCCACAGTCCTCCAGCTGGCTCTGGGAAGAACTGGGACCGTCGATTTAGCCACTCTGCCGCCAGTTCAGGGGCCCCATTTAACAAACACTGCTTGGCTGCCAGACTCCCTCCTTCCTTCAGCACTCGCCGCTCATATTCTGCACTTCGGTCATTGCAGTAAGAATCCAATGGCACTGCGGTAACCTGCAGTGAGACAGTCACATGAGATAGCTCTTGCACACTTCCTACACTCCAACTTTGAAATCAGACAAATGTGGATAATTCTTAGGTTAGTGGTTTTAACTTCCTTGTTCTGACAAATAAGCTGCCTCTAATAACTGACTCAGTGAGCTGGTCCAAGGAAAAGGCCAACCTCTTATTAACATGAATCTGCAGCAAACTAAAGATCCAGAGAGTGCAGGAGTTTGCAGAAAAACTGGGATACCAGGTCAGGAATAATTCTATCATGGTTCTATGCATCTCTGATCCAACTTTGCCACCTCCCCTCATTGCTGGATAGTGTTTTTGGTGAAATTCTATCAGCCATACACAGAATGGGGAGATCAGAAAGGGAGCTGGAGCTACGCAGTCATTACTAAAGAACGAAAAGAGTTATTTGCCTGGTGCATTTGAAGCTATCTTTAATGCTTTTCTGCCAAAATTCCCAAGTTTATCAAGACTTCTTTCTCCTCTCCCCTGACCAGGATGCTGACTGACAAACCTAATGAAAGATACGAGAACCTTTCTTGTAGGCCATAAGCTGGGATATGGTGGAGGGGGGTGGAGAAAGCAACTGCCAGAGACTGGTGGATTCATTTCCTGGCTAGGACAGAGGCTATGCACAAATTCTTATCTCCCCACAAGGTGCAACAACACTGAAATGCTGCCCTCCTCCCCCCCATGGAATAGAAGGCTCCCGCCAATTAAGAAACGGGCTTTTTAATCCTTTAGTGATCTGGGTCTATTCCCACTCTAATAAGCATCTGTGTATTCAGATAACTGTGAAATCACCTGATTAGAAGGCTGAGTTACCTTCTGTTGAAATTTGGAGGCTGTGATTAGCTGCAAGCTCAGGCTGATAAAAATGCTAAAGTCCCATTATATGCACTAAATTGCTCAGAAAAACCCTGGAGCAAGACCAAGAAATGGGGAGAAATTGGGTATAAGGAGCAAGTGCAGAGGAATGAGAGAGATCAGAACATAGAACACTGGCCGTACCTAGTTAGCTAGTTTTATTGTTGCTATTATTTCCCAGAAGTGAGACATTTAGGAAAATATATCTTGCTATTAACTTTTCTATCTTCATGCCCAACAATCTTTAGGGCAATGGAATGGTTGTCAAGTTTTGGTATGTGTAAGAACCTTCTTGGGAGCTTATCTAAAGTGCAGATTTTTAGGGCGCCTGGGTGGCTCAGTTGGTTAAGCGACTGCCTTCGGTTCAGGTCATGATCCTGGAGTCCCGGGATCGAGTCCCGCATCGGGCTCCCTGCTCAGCAGGGAGTCTGCTTCTCCCTCTGACCCTCCTCCCTCTCATGTGCTCTCTCTCTCAAATAAATAAATAAAATCTTAAAAAAAAAAAAAATAAAGTGCAGATTTTGATCCAGAAGATCTAAGGGACAAGCGAACAGCTCTAGGCTTTTAACGAACACCACGGCCCTCAGGCCAAGCCTTAATGCTGCCTTGGGGTACATTAATAGTCAGCTAGCTGACTATGGGGCTGCAGGTGCCTCTGCTGGAGACTAGAAGATACCAAAACAATAGAAAGAGCATCATTTACTAATACCACAGCGTCCTCTACTCTGGCTTATAGATGAAGCTGAACTGAGTTGGCTAGAGAACAGTGCCATCTACAGTCCAGACACAAAACTACAGGGAGGTGTTACAGCAAGCTGGGCCCCTGCAGCTCCAAAACCCAGACAGGCTCACATATCAGTTTCACACACAGTACTAGGCGCAGGTGTTGGTAATCTCAAGTGGTCATCTTTACCCACTCCAAAAGGAGTATGTTCTCTTACTTCCAACTTATTCCTTTTTCCCACCGAAAGCTGAACATAGACAAATGAAGACAGAAATAAAAAACAGGTAGATAGGGGCGCCTGGGTGGCTCTGTCGTTAAGCACCTGCCTTTGGCTCAGGTCATGATCCCAGGATCCTGGGATCGAGCCCCACATCGGGCTCCCTGCTCAGCAGGAAGCCTGCTTCTCCCTCTCCCACTCCCTATGCTTGTGTTCCCTCTCTCGTTGTGTCTCTGTCAAATAAATAAATAAAATATTTAAAAAAGTAAAAAAAAAATTTTTTTAAAAAAAGGTGAATAAAAACTGGATCTTTCCTGCTATGGCCTGTCCTGGCAGTAACTCAGCGGCTACCTACCATCTAGGGTATGAGTCCCAGAACCTCACAATCAATGGTGGTTGTACTTTAGTGACAGTGATATAAGCAGCAGTGGTTAGACTACAGAAGTTAGACTACTATACGACCAGTTCTATACAGTATATATACTTTTGGATGAATAAAGCACATTTACTCTTTTCTAACGAGAGACTCATACTGACCAATTTTACACTCAAGCATAACGACTTTGTTTTTGCTGCTGTTGTTTATTTTGTAGAAAAGCAGAACTTATACTGGAATTATATAGACTTTGGGGGGCACCTGGGTGGCTTAGTGGGTTAAGCGTCCGACTCCTGATTTCGGCTCAGATCATGAGCCGGGTCATAAGGCTGGGTCCCACATCATGCTCTGTGCTGGGTGTGCAGCCTGCTTAAGATTCTCTTTCCCTCTCCCTCTGCCCCTCCCCCACTTGCTCTCATGCACGCACTCTAAAATAAACAAACATACATACATATATATATATATATATGTATATATGTATAAGGCCCAGATTCTCCAGATGAAAAGCCAAAAGCTAGAAACTCAGCACAAAGGAACAGGGAACACTGACACAGGGAAAATGTTTTTCCTGCCTAGAACTCACTCCTAGGCACTCTTAAGAGTTTAAAAAGAAAACAACTTTCTCCAGTTATAAACTTTCACCTATTTTCCAATTTCATTTGGCTGATATCCTTCCAAGTCCAGGATTGAAAACTAGGTAGTATGCAAGGCCCAGATCTTAGTGAAATATTTTTTATGTTTTGATAAGCTTCTTTGGCAGGAGCCCTGGATCAAGATATATGCAGAATCACAGAATGTCATGTCGTAAGTACGTAAGCAGTGAACTCATGAGGTCCAAAAAGAGGCAAACAAGTCCACTTCTAATTAAACTGTGCTTCCCAAGTCAGCTCTATCCTAGACAGCCTCCACCCATTCTTCTAACCCCAAGTGGCCTTCCTGATAGCTCAGAAGCAGGGGGAGATGAAGCATGATATACCATTCTTCCCTCCCCACAAATGGAAATGCATACTCTCTTCAGTCTCACATGAGCTAACCTCTGTTTCTTGCTTCATTAACTTCCTAAACTATAGTATCTTCAAGGGCCATCTCCTCAAGCATTTAGCGCGTCCTTCCCGAGGACGTGTATACTCCTGCTCTGGCTCTAGGAAGCGTGACCACTCCAAGCGCTTCAGTTTTTTGGTAAGATGGATTTCCAGGGTCTTAGTTTATTAACCCTGCAGAATTATTTCCTCAGCTAATGAGAAAACAGCTCCTATAATTCCTTCCTTAGTGGCACAGTTCTTCCAGAACTGACCCTAAAGTTTCCACAGCATAAGACAGGGACATTAATTTGTTTTAGCTCAAGGCTAAGGTTAGACTTCAAAGGAAGTCAGTTTTCCCCACCACAGTTGGGTTAGAAATCAATATAAAATAATCAGGGTATCTCAGGATTACTCACACTCCAGGCCTGATCTGAAAGATAAAAGCTTGCATTATGAGTGTATAAATAAATATTCAGACATATTTAAAACTCCTCTTCCTGTCCATATAACCCTGGTATAATTACTCCCATTTCAGGTTTGGCATCTGCTATGTGAAGAAACTCTACAATTACAGAGGGAGGGGCTGAGTAGGAAAGGAGGGTCCTGGGACAGAGTGCTTCAGCCAAATGATACAAAGTTTTCTCCTGTTCCCTGCCCGCCACCCCACCTTTATGCTATTCTAGCATCCTTCAAGCTAGTCACTATTTACTGTCCTTTAGGGAAACAGCAGCATCAGGTATGATAGCTTAGATTTTGGGCTCCTCAGAAAACAAGTCCCCAGCTGTACAGCTGAGGTACTGCATGTGTGTGTTGGCAGAGTGGGGTTGTTCTTCAGAGTGGCTGGCTACAGAGCTCTGAGTGGAACAAATGAAGAATTTGTATGCCTGTAAATGCAATGACAGCCCAAGGCAGCTCACTTTTTAACTGGCTCTATAAATCACTAGGGATATGAGAAGTAAAAATATCTAGACATCCCTCTCTGAAATCTAGACTTCCTCTTGTAAGGCCTATCAGTATATACATCAGATTGGGAGGGTGAGAAGGAAATGAACCACACAACTATGAAACCTGAAGACCACTTTCTATAGAAGCAGCTGACTTTAGACGTTTTCTAGAAAAGGTGCATTTCCCTGCATTGACTTAAGCTTCAAAGACCAAAAATGCTTTGGAAGAACAGGATACATAGAAAATCTAAATACTTTTGGGCGTCTGGGTGGCTCAGTCGTTAAGCGTCTGCCTTCAGCTCAGGTCATGATCCCAGGGTCCTAGGATCGAGCCCTGCATCGGGCTTCCTGCTCCGCGGGAAACCTGCTTCTCCCTCTCCCACTCCCCCTGCTTGTGTTCCCTCTCTCACTGTGTCTCTCTCTGTCAAATAAATAAAATCTTAAAAAAAAAAAAAAAAGAAAGAAAGAAAATCTAAATACTTTCTATTTAGATAGCCAATATAAATCACAGCTGACAGTGGCCTGGGAATCAAGTTCATGTAGTACAGGTCAGCAGAAAGAAGGGAAGGCAGGCAGGAGTCAACAGGACTCAGTACCACCATCATCTCATTTCCATTCATCAACTTTCTTGGGACCCCCTGCCAGATTCTGACCTTAGATAACTTAATAAAGGATGCAAGCTGATGTAAATAATGACAGAAAAATATCACTAAGGAAGATTCAAAAGGCTCCACCTTCTTTAAACAGAACTGTGAACACAGCAGACCTTCTAGAATGAGTGGAGAAAACAAGGTAAAACACAGAAGGGTGAGAACGTCGGCCTCTTCAAGAGTTTTCCTGGCTAACTGAAAGATGCTCCTTAAAGCAAAAGGAAATGAGCTGGTAAGACAGAAACTTTTTCTCTGCTCTTACCACAGAGTCTGGCGCATTTCTACCCAGCCCTCTCCCTTCACATACTTGTTCAGAGTTGTAAGAGAGCTTCTGTCTAGCTCTGATCAACGACAGGAAAGAATGGGAAAGGTAAGCAGAGTAAAAAACTGCACTGTGAGAAGGGGAGCCTTTGCGGCGATGCTGAGGGCAATCACCAGAGTGCCCTGTTTTGATAAATGGAGTGTTAGGAAGGCTCTAACAGGTGCTCAATGTTGAAACCACAACAGAAACTGCTCCCAACCTGCAAATAAAACTATGACTGTTGAATGGTGAATAGAGAGCAACAGTCACTTTTCAGAGGGAACATACCTGTGAACCACAGTCTAGGCAGGGCTGCTGAGGAAAGCATGAGAACACCAGACTAAGAAGTTTCTTGATGCTGGAGTGTTATGTTTCCTTTTGTTATCTGGAGACTGCACTGAGGCGAGAAGGCCAGATCAAATCTCTCTCCCAATCTGGCCCCCTCCTCCAAAAAACCCTCAAAAGCCTCAATGCAGGTAACAAATGGCTCCCTCTCCTTTTCAAATATTCCACTGTCCCTGACCCTGCTGTTTGGTGATAATCTACCTGACAGATGGCTTGTTCCCATGGTAGTTTAGAGCCCCTGACTGAAGGAGAGGAACTACACAGGAGAGACATGGTCAGGGAAAGAAGCCGTTCTTATCTACCATGTAACAGTTCTCAAACCAACACAATTTAAAGGGAGGAGTACTGTCTTGGGAAAGCCAGGACCACGTATGTCCTCTAAATAGTGAGAATTTATGTTTCTTAAGGTCCAAACAGCTTAAAACAGTTCTGTTTAAGAAATGGATCTCTTAAAAGAGGGTTTATTCCTTCAAGTTTCATCTATTTTGTCTCTTCCCTCCTGTGGCACTTACTCGTGGACTGGCCACACACAAAAAAGATGGCAGTTCAGTGAGCAGGCAGCAACGAAGCGAGGAGGTAGCTGATCTCCGCTGATGGATGACCTGGTCTGAGTAGCCACTCACTGCTTTACAGTGGCTGCTGAAAACCAGAGACTACAAAACAGAAACGCAAATTAGTGCCACTGGCAAGTATGTTTAATGCAAGCAAAATGGAAAAAATGTCAAATATTAAACATCTGACTTAAACACATTCTTCTTAGTGAATATTAATTCTAATAAACAATAAACCAGTATTTAGAACCAAATGTATAATACAGCCAAAGCTCATGTTAATTTTAAACCATGGTTTTATTAATATACTGTAAGCCAAGTGGCATTTCTAATTCTACCTTTTTTTGGAAGAGATACTGTTAATTGTAAATAGTTAGAACATAACTTTCATTAGACAAAACAACGTATATGTGGGGGCAAGTTTGGTTCATTGGTTACACCATGGATGCAAACTCACGTCTTAAATTAAAAACATGATGGCTAACAATATTTCCTTCTAAATTTTTCTTCAAGGCCCATTTTTTTTTTTTAGTGATTTTATTTTTAAGTAATCTCTACAACCAACATATGTGGCTCAAACTTACAACCCCGAGATCAAGAGTCTTATACTCTACTTACCGACTGAACCAGCCAGGCATAAGGCACATCTGTTTAGCATCACACATGTATATTAACAGTGTATGTATAGCTGACCGTTGAAGAACATGGGTTTGAAATGTGTGGATCCACTTATACACGTTTTTTTTTCCCAAAAATAACTCAACAATACTGTAAATGTATTTTCCTTATGATTTTATTTATTTATTTATTATTATTATTTTTTAAAGATTTTATTTATTTATTTGAGACAGAGAGAATGAGAGAGAGAGAGAGCGCACATGAGAGGGGGGAGGGTCAGAGGGAGAAGCAGGCTCCCTGCCGAGCAGGGAGCCCAATGTGGGACTCGATCCAGGGACTCCAGGATCATGACCTGAGCCGAAGGCAGTTGCTTAACCAACTGAGCCACCCAGGCGCCCTCCTTATGATTTTAGTAACATTTTCTTTAGCTTACTTTGTTGTAAGAATACAGTATATAACACATATACAAAATATGTGTTAACTGGCTGTTTATGTTATTGGTAAGGCTTCCTGTCAACAACAGGAGGCTGTTGGTAGTTAAGTTTTGGGGGAGTAAAACGTTATACGTGGATTTTTGACTGCAGAGAGGGTCAACATCCCTAACCCCTGTGTTGTTCAAGAGTCAACTGTAGTTCTAGCAAGGTTAGCTGTTTCATTTATTCAGTGACATCAATACAAGTGGTCAGGAAAAGAAAACAATATTGCTTTAGTTCTTTTATCTGACCATTTTTAAAAAAACAAATTCTTCATTTACATTACATTATCAATACATTTTAACAGACTAAAAGCTCATAGTAAAGCTTCAGTTTATAAGCTTTCACGAGAAAGATTTTTTAAAAGTATGGAATGTTGGGGCGCCTGGGTGGCTCAGTTGGTTAAGCATCTGCCTTTGGCTCAGGTCATGATCCCAGAGTCCTGGGATCAAGCCCCTCAACAGGCTTCCTGCTCAGCGGGGAGCCTGCTCCTCCCTTTCCTCCCCACTAGTGCCCTTTGTTGCTATCTCTGTCTCTCTCTCTCAAAATAAATAAATAAAATCTTTAAAAAATTTTTTTAAAAGTATGGAATGTTCTCGTAAAAGAATCTGTCAGTGGGATTATACTGTTCTTTACTGCAGATGCAATTCTTTCTTCAGTGCAATGTTAGACATTTTATCTTTGGATCTTCATTCTTGACTACTTCACTTTTTTTCTTTATTGTTTTCTCAGATAAGGCAGGTTGGTAACCTAAATAACCATACAGATGAAGATAATACATACACAAGGCAGGCAAATTTGTACATTGGTACAAGGTCAAGAAAACAAACTGCAAGATGAACAGTAACCAGGACTCTGTACAGAAGAATAGTTACAATTCCAGTACCAAAAGCTTCCAGGACCAAATCTCTTCAAGGCTTCTTTGTTCAGTAGGTATCTTTTCCCAAAGTAAATGGGCTCTTCAGGATCACACTTTGAGAGAAGCCATCTTAAGTTGTCTACCAGGATATGTGTATCATAATCTGCTTTCCAAAAACCGATCAGCATTTTCTGAATAATGGTCATGAACAAACTGAAAGGCCTGAACTGTTTCTAGGAGAGTTGGGCTGTCTCCAGTGGTTTCTAACCACACTGTATGGAAGTCTTTACAATGCTTTATTACAACATTAGGTCCACGTAGCTTTGACATGTTTGATATTTTCCTCTAGATGTGGATGTCCCTGTCATTACCCAGAAAAGAATTTTAACCTTCTGATAGTTTTTCAATAATATCTGCGTTCTCATCTTTATGTTGGCTAGCATCTGCATTGAAGTTCATCCGCCTCGATGTCCATTACCTTCTGAATGCCTAGTGTAAGGATCATTACAAAGATTATTAGACCAGGTATCACCCTGTTCTTCCAATACTAGATACTGGATAGGTAAGAACATACACTTAAAACAATCCTATCCTAATGCACAGATGAAGACAGTCAATCCTCTTGTTTTCTGCAAGCACATTTTCTATTATTGGTGTTAAGCACCCTTGCCCCTCCTAGGGGGTGGAGAGAAAAGAGTCTAGTTTACTGCTCATGTCATCGAGCTACAGTAGTAGTTCAGGACTGCTAGTTAGGGTGTCTACTGCCACTCAGGGGACTGAGGCAGCAGCAGTAGCTGACCTAAACACCTCTGAACTGCTTACTAACTAATAAAGAGCAGTAACTAAGCAATGTCTCTGCCAGGGATCTCTTAAGTATTTTAAGTATTCTCAAATGGCAAAATTCAACAAAGCCTGTTTCTTACTTCATTCCCAGAATATAAAGATAAAAGATGAAAGAATGAACATTTCCTTCAATTATTTTCTCTTCAACATTATAGTTATTAGTAAAAAAGAGTTACAACAGTCACTGTAGGGAGTCCTTTTAACACAGTATGTTATTTGTGACACCTTTCCGGAAAAAGTCTAATGATAATTCTATTCCCGGGGTGGTCATTCCCAAATAAAACATGTTCACTTGTCTTACATGAGCTAGGTTAAAATGATATTCTCACTGGAAGTCATTAAAGGCAGGGTGATTTGTAGCTTTGATTTTAGATTAAAAAAAAATTCACTAGCTCAAAATGCTCATGCACAGCCTTAGCTTTAGAGAAACCCTGACCACCTCCCCAGCATATTTTACTCAGTCTATACTTTTCTACATTATTTTCTCTTAACCTTGGTTCCATCAATTCTTCCTTAGGATAGGTGGTCCTTAATACCACATTACCCACATTCCTTTCACATAATGACATGAACTACTAGACACTGCTACCTACAAAAAAATTTAATGCTTAACACAGAAGAACACAAAGGACACCTTAAACACCACTGCATAAGATGCTTGGGTGAGCAGGTGAAGGAGGGACAGAAAAGAAGTTTCATTACTGCTTTAGTCTGTTTTGGCCTAGAACAAATTAGAAAAAAGACACAGAATGTCACACTACGGGAGACATGATTTGGTTATGATGTGGTCACACATCTGCTGTTCTGTTGTCCCTTCCTCATGCTCTTGAGGGTCTTCATTACCCTGTAGGCACTGGCAGCTATATGTGTCTTGCTACCAGAACGACAACATGCACATAGCAGAGAAGTTAGGCTTTTGTCTTTTGGCACTATACAAAAGTCTCAGTGGAAAATCAGTAGGGCAGGAAGATAGGCCCCACACCTGTGAACTTCTTGCCACAGTATAGCACAGAAAACACACAGATGTTTTTCCCCTCAGATATAGACTTACCCACTTAACAAGGGGCCATACTTTATTCTCCACGTCTTGTTTAAAATTAAAAGGAACATTTATGTTACCATTAGGTCTTCATTACTCAAATTAATTTTCTGCTTTTGTTCTTAAAGAATACATCAAACATAGGTATAGAGAAAAGGTCTCACTTTATTATTATTATTATTTTGCTTTTTAAGCTTTTATTTTAATTCCAGTTAGTTAACATACAGTGTTATATTAGATTCAGGTGTACAATATAGTGATTCAACATTTCCATAAATCACCCGGTGCTGTCACGACAAGTGCACTCCTCATCAACCTTCCCCCAACCCCCTTCCCCTCTGGTAACTGTCAGTTTGTTCTATAAAATTAAGAGTCTGTGAGGAAAGGTCTCACCTTAAATGAAAGGGTGTAGTGTTTATAGATCAACTGCTAGACTAAATGGATTCTATTTTCAGGTATTTTAAGTGACCAAACAAAAAGAGAGAAAATAAAGCACAGAAAAACCCTGAATACAATGGCTTCCCAGAGTTTTCCACAAGGGGCGTTGGCAGCTTTCATGATCTCAGGAAATAATAACATACATAAATACTCTAGTTGCAAATTAACATTTAGCAGATGAGCTTTTTAAAACCTCCTGTTTGGGATTCTTCATCAATAGCCAGTCAAAGCTCTCTAAGCATAAAATAGAGAACAGTGTTTAAAACTTAAACACACACCACTCTTTTCAAAAACAATTCTTTATGTTTAGATCCTTTTGCATATTTTAAATTGCAAAATCTGAACTGCCCCCAATTTTTATGACCTAGCTCACAAAAGCTGTGGAGTATGTAAAGCTTTTGACACACATGATGCCTAAGTGGCTATTACCATGACAACAGTTCCACTGAGACAGATACAGGAGATGGAATCAATGCTGGTACAGGTTTCCCTTGCTACCTGAAAGTAGAGAATTCCTCTGAAAACTTTTGTAAGCTGAAATAGCATAAAGCAAAGAAGCAATTACAATTAAACTCTATGGAAAAAATTTTGAGCATTCCCAGACCCCCCAAAATCGCTTTTCCGATACCTTAGGACACACCTTGCTAACGGATGCACAAAATAAACTGAGATACAGCACAGACGCACACAGACATGGCTGAAAGCTATGGTAGCTGGATGCTGAGTCTAGTGCCTGGGCAGGGAGCTGGGCCGTGCCGCTCTCACTGCTCTGGGGCACGGGGCTCTGTAAGGGCTCCGTGCCAAACAAATGCTGAATGCTACTTCCGCTTTTTGCCTTTTTTTGGAAAAAGCAAAAGTCCTCTTCAGATCTCTTTTGAGTAGTGAAACAGGTATGAATGTAGGTCCTTCTTAAAAGCCAAATGGCATAACCGTGAACTTTTGAAAAGAGAGGGACACCCTGTACTCTGCTTCTGCCCATCATCATAAAATCTGCTTTGCCTCCCCAAAAGATGACTACATGGTATATATCCTACAGATTCTGGATTTTCTTTATTCTTCTAAGCAAAACAAGATTAAAATATGTGTGAAACTTGTATTCTTTAACCCCTACAAAACTGTACAAGAAAGGAGCTCTGCCCAGAGCTCACAGTGGGGAAGGAGGTGTGTGAGATTGAATTTATGAAGAATTTGAACTAACTACTTTTCCTTCTTAAAATTCTCACCAGTACAGCTGGGTGGAACACAATAAAATTCAGTGGAACACAGTGAATCATGCTGGCTTTTGTTTCACAAGTATCATAAGAGAAAAAAATATCAGACAAGCATTCATGTCAAGTAAGAGAGTTTAAAAGACCCTAAACTTTGTTTAAAACACCTCTAAATGTCATCCGATCTGTATCCTTAGCCTAGTTCCTTAGTTCCTTCATGTGTATTTATCATCCCAAAGCCAGTATTATGAGAATAGTACTTCCTTGAACTCTGTAACACAGAATTCGAACCTAACATTCACTGCAGAGAACAAGGGTTTTACAGGCACCCCTGGGAAAAAAGCTTCTCACTGTCCAGATTCATTCATATCCACGGTGGGAAAGAAGGAGGTGAGGACTGGGTTAGACCGCTGGATGACTCAGTAGTATGGGATCTGAGATAGCTTACCAGGAACAAAATGACAACATGTAGCTAAGTCAACACTCATTACCTGTCTTCCCAGAGGAATAAGAACAAAGCCTTTACCTGGATCCAATGATAGGAAGCTGTATTTAGGAGACAGGCTGCTGGAACAATAATTACTACTCTTCATAAAACAAATGAAGGCACAGTGAAGAATGAAGAATTTTCTGCAATAAGAGGACAAAGCTGCATGTGGAAAAATTAATTCAAAGCTTATTTGGTAGCTTTAAAGGAATTTTATGGGGCGCCAGGGTGGCTCAGTTGTTAAGCATCTGCCTTCGGCTTAGGTCATGATCCCAGGGTGCTGGGATCGAGCCCCATGTCGGGCTCCCTGCTCAGCGGGGAGCCTGCTTCTCCCGTTCCCCCTGTTTGTATTCCCTCTCTCGCTCTCTGTCAAATAAACAAACAAAATCTTAAAAAAAAAATAAATAAATAAAGGAATTTTACTTGAAATTATTATTTGAATAGTACAAGAGAAAGAATTCTACACTTGCTTCCAATTTTAGCATTTCCCGTGGTCTTTGCTCTCAGGTCTATCCACTCAAGAATAACCCCAAGGGTGCCTGGCTGGCTCAATCAGTAGAGCATGCCACTCTTGACCTCTCAGGGTTGTGAGTTTGGGCCCTATGTAGGGGGTAGAGATTACTTAAAAAAAGGGGGGGGTGCCTGGGTGGCTCAGTCATTAAGTGTCTGCCTTCGGCTCAAGTCATGATCCCAGGATCCTGGGATCGAGCCCCACGTCAAGCTGGCTCCCTGTTCCGCGGGAAGCCTGCTTCTCCCTCTCCCACTCCCCCTGCTTATGTTCCCTCTCTGGCTGTGTCTCTCTGTCAAATAAATAAATAAAATCTTAAAAAAAAAAAAAAAAAGAATAACCCCAAACTTCATCTTTAAAAACTGATCTTGAACATGGAATCACTTGTATATTCTTCCATCAAAACTTTGTTTTTTTTTTTAAAGATTTTATTTATTTATTTATTTGAGAGAGAGAGAGAGAGAGAGAAACAGCATGAGAGGGGATAGGGTCAGAGGGAGAAGCAGGCTCCCCGCTGAGCCAGGAGCCCGACGTGGGACTCGATCCCAGGACTCCGGGATCATGACCTGAGCTGAAGGTAGTCGCTCTGAGCCACCCAGGCGCCCAAAACTTTGTTGTTTTAAAGGTTTTATTTTTTTAAGTAATCTCTACACTCAATGTGGGCTCAAACTCACAATGTCAAGAGTGGCACGCTCCACTGGCTGAGCCAGCCAGGTGCCCCACTTCCATTAAAACTTTGAAACAAAATTTGTATTTACTTTGCATAGTAAAATAAGCCTATTCCACTTTTTAGGACCACAAAAGAAAGCAAAGCAAAGAGCTGGAGAAATAGCATCTCTTTATAAATAATCAAGGTTACCTAATCAGAATTAAGTTGGCAAATCAAATGAACATGCAAGATACAGAATACAACACAGACTGCAATGAAAAAAATTTTGCTTACAAGGACTTAGAGCTTATGAGCAATGAATTCCTGCTGAAGATGAAAGCCAGACATTTTCCTGTATTTAATGTCCTCCCCAGCTGAAGTTTGTTGTGGCTAATAAAATTGTGAAGAAGATGAGTGACAGAGTGTAGGGAGAGATACCAACATCCTTTAATCAATTTAAGAACATTTATGATGTCACAGTCAGAACCCATCAATAGCCTAGGCCAAAATCTCAGAACTAGGAATACCACAACAAACTTTATAATGAAATAACTAATTTAAAGGTATCAGCCCAGCAGTTAAGAGGCTCTGGTCATTTTAAGATACGTTCACAAATTCTTTGGTAACTTTCTCTTCAAAAGGCAGAACCTAGTTCCTTCCCCTCTCCTAGCATGACTCCCGAAACTAGATCATAAAAGGCACTGTGCCTCTTCCTTGCTTGCCCCCCACCCCCCATCACTTATCCTGGGGGAAAGCCAGCTGCCATGTCATGATACTCAAGCAGCCCCATGGGAAAGTCCACATAGCAAGGAACTGAGGCCTCCAGCCAATAGCCTGCATCAACTTCCTAGGCATGTAAGCAAGCTAGTTTGGAAGTAGATCCTATGGCTCTAGTCAATCTTTCAAATAACTGTAACCTTAGCTGACGGGAACTTTGTAAGATTTTCTGAGCTAGAACCACCTACCTAAGTTGCTCCCAAGTTCCTGATCAACAGAAACTGCAGGGCTAAAATAACTGACATACAATATAATCAATGAGTGACCAAACAAGTTACCAATCCCACATTTCTTAAACTCCAAGGGAATGTTAGAACTCTTCACAAAATTCTATTTTAAATACTGATGTTGTAATTTTAGGCTGGGGGACATTCCCTCAGATGAGAATACACACCAAGTTCCAAAGGGAAAACCAACACAAATACAAAGCACCACTATTAAGTCATTCAGGAAACATTTACTTTTTTGTGCACAAGACCGCAAAGACAAGAGGGACTATATAAAATGTCCAAACACCTGAACTGTGTTCTCACTTGGGGAAGAAAAAGGAATGATAAAAAAATAAAAATAAAAAATAAAACGACAGAACTGCTTAGTAACACTTCTTCTTTTTTTTAAAAAAGATTTTATTTATTTATTTGACAGAGAGAGAGACAGTGAGAGAGGGAACACAAGCAGGGGGAGTGGGAGAGGGAGAAGCAGGCTTCCCGCGGAGCAGGGAGCCCGATGCGGGGCTCTATCCCAGGACCCTGGGATCATGACTGAGCCGAAAGCAGAGGCTTAATGACTGAGTCACCCAGGCTCTTTCTTTTTTCATGTTAAGCTTAGTTTCAGAGCTTCTAGAAATAGTGAAACTTTCTCTGTGGAAGAGAGTACCTTTCCATTAATTAATTTCCATTAATACCGTTCTACCAGTATTCACTGGAGTTTTCTACCATATAAAAAAAAAGGGTAGTTAACCACTTTGCAATCCCACCAATTCTCTCTCTTGCATGTTCAATTTCCTTCTTCGTGGGCTTTTTCCATTTTAGTCTTCAAATCTGAGTCTCCTCTCCCCTACAAATTCAACTTTGACTTAAACCCAGTGTCCCTCCTTAAATACCTCCCTATTCTTCTTTTTAACTGTCACACTTCATTTAATACTTCATGTGCTCTCCACACTTTCTTATAATTTTTTTTTTTAAAAGATTTTATTTATTTATTTGACAGAGAGAGAGATAGCGAGAGCAGGAACAGAAGCAGGGGGAGTGGGAGAGGGAGAAGCAGGCTTCCCGTGGAGCAGGGAGCCCGATGTGGGACTCGATCCCAGGACCCTGGGACCATGACCTGAGTCGAAGGCAGACGCTTAACGACTGAGCCACCCAGGCGCCTGCTCTCCCCACTTTCTAACCAGAATCTCTCTCCCTGTAAATCCCTGCATCTGGGCCTTCTGTGTTCTATCTACACTCACAACAACAAAAGCTACTAATCTCGTCCCTGTGTATTTGCTTTAAACTTAATATAGAATTTATCATTCTCTTGGATCTTCTCTTGAACTCTGGGTTTTGGAAGTGATTCCTTCACTGACAATGCTCATCCATATCAAATCAATCAAGAGTCCCTTGACCCTTTCTTTAAGATTTATTTATTTATTGGGGGGGCGGGCAGGCAGAGGAAGAGGAAGAGAGAGTCTTAAGTAGACTCTGCATGGGGCTTGATCTCATGACCCAGATATGACAAGCAGAAATCAAGAGTCGGGGGCTTAACCAACTGTGCCACCCAAGAGCCCCATTGACCCTTTCTCTATAATCGTTCAGTTACTACCATTTCTGTTGAGTCCTTAGTACTTGATACTTGCAACCTTGTTTAACAGACTCCTTAATATGGACCCCTGGTGTCTCATCTTTCATGACACCACACTCTGAGATTAATCTTCATCAAATACCAATAACCGAGATCCCCACTGGTGTGCTCAGTGATCTGAGTGATTAAATGGCCTTCGTGAAACTGGCTATCAGATTACTCCTTCCAATGGCTTGACAGTAGCCGCCAAAAGTTTGTTTCCCCAAGACTACAACTATAGCATCTATGTAATAACACAAGCCAAAAAGAGGCTGAAACTCCTGGTTTAATATCTAAACCCCAACAGACTGGCATTTAAAGACTCCTACAACTTACCTTAGTAGCCCTTTCTTTTGTTTAGCTCCAGTGTTTGACTTGGAATATCCTTCCTCCTACCCAGATCCCTATCACTTGAAGTTCAACTTAAACAACACCATTTTAGGCACCTGGGTGGCTCAGTCGGTTAGGTATCTGCCTTTGGCTCGGGTCATGATCTCAGGGTCCTGGGATCAAGCCCCACGTCGGGCTCCCTGCTCAGCTGGGAGTCTGCTTCTCCCTCTCCTTCTAATAAATAAATAAAATCTTTAAAAAAAATAAAATAACACCATTTCTATAACAACTTCTTTGTCCATTTCAATCTAAGGTGATTTCCCATTCTGAACTTTACCACTAATCATCCACTACCAATCTGGCAATTAATCATGTCTTCTTTCAATTTTTGAGTCATTTTTGTTTTTAAAGTCTTTCTAAGAGGCGCCTGGGTGGTTCAGTTGGCTAAGCGTCTAGCTCTTGGTATTGGCTCAGGTCATGATGTCAAGGCCGTGGGACTGAGCCCTGTGTCTGGCTCCACACTCAGCTGGGAGTCTGCTCAAGATTCTCTCTCTCTCTCTCTCTCTGCACCCCCCCCTGTGCTCTCCTTCTCTCAAATAAATAAATAGATATTTAAAAAAAAAAAAAAACGAAGTCTTTTTAAGTTTGTGTGTTTTTACTACATGCATGAATGATTTTTCAAACCAGAAAGCAGGGACCATGACTGTTAACACACCTTGCCCACAGCAGACACTGCTGACTAACAGGTTGGTAAACAACATTAATTACATATGCTCTCTGTGGGAGTAGACTGACATTGAGAGGAGGTGATTCTAAAGGTAGTCTGACCAGCAGAAAAAAGGAGCATCAGAGAACCCCTGATCATTAAGCCAATACCAAATTCTACCACCAGAGATTCATTCAATCAATAAATCAGTTCTTCTGACATATAGAATGATGCACCCATTCACTCCAATTGGCCTTGGTCCTGAACAATTAAAAACAGCATGAAGAGGGCACCTGGGTGGCTCAGTTGGTTAAGCGACTGCCTTCAGCTCAGGTCATGATCCTGGAGTC